CTGATGCAGACAAAAATAGTAACACGAATGAGAATGCCGGGGATTTAGAGGAGGACGTTGGTGCTGGTGACTTTGATAAAGGAGTTGAAGCTGTAGAAATTGCTAGTCAGAGCTGTGAAAGCACCGGAATGTCACAAGTGGATGATTGCAGCAGCAAACAAAGTTGGACACTTCGATCCTTGTCTGAGTCAACAATTGCTTGTATAACTAGTGACTTTGCAATGCAAAATGTGATTCTTCAAATGGGCTTGCGGCTTATAGCACCTGGTGGGATGCAGATTCGTGAGTTACAGAGGTATATAAAGGGTCATGATATTTTTCTTGTTTTACTCGCACCTTGTATTTCTCATAGCGTCATTCTTGTCTTGATGTGATTGGTTAATTTTTTTAAAATGGTATAGAGTATAATAGTTAGGGGCAATGTAATTTTCTATTTGTATTTTCAGGTGGGTACTAAAATGTCATGCTTGTTATAAGGTTACCACAGAAATTGGTAGGATATTTTGTCCGAGTTGTGGTAATGGGGGCACTTTACGCAAAGTTGCTGTTACAGTGGGAGAAAATGGGATTGTAATTGCAGCTAGAAAACCACGTGTATCCTTGCGTGGAACAAAAGTGAGAATCTCAAGCTCTTTTTCCCCCTAAATTCTTTTCCTTCCCATTTTACGAATTGCATGTTTGATTTCTTGTGCAGGTCTCACTACCCCTGCCCCAAGGAGGCAGGAATGGCGTTGCCAAGAACCCCGTGTTACGCGAGGATCAGCTTGAACAAAAGTTTTTGTACCCTAAAACAAAGAAGAAAAACAAGCAGGTTAGTTTGGAAAAGGCTTGCGTAGTAAGTTTCTGTTTGCAGAATCTCCCTATTGTCTTGTCTCTCGACGCACCGTTAATTTCTAGTTTCTGTGCCGGGTTCGTAAATCATGAAAAAGTTTAACACCCTTGTGTGTCTATTGCACTACTATATAAATGTCACACTTTTTGGTATACTTAGTATTTAATAAACTTGCAATTTCATGAGTGAATCTATACTGAGATGAGACATTACTGGGAATTAGCACTCGGTTCTTTAATACTCCCTGCGTCCCATTTTAAGTTGCTTGTTGTTATTTACGATGTTAGATTGAAGTTATTTTCAAATTGGGGTAGAATTAAAAAAATAAAATTTACATATTTAAAAACTACATTAAAAGTTCTACAAAAGAACATGCAACATTACTATATTGTTTTATCAAATGAGTAACGGAAATGAGTAAAGAAAATGATTTAAGTTAGACTCCGCTAATAATAGTAAACAAAGAAGTTAAATTGGGACGGGGGGAGTACTCTTTTAAGAAGTGTTCTCTATCTCAGTTCTTTAAAGGAGTATGTACTTTTATTTTGCTTATTGCTGAAAAATGGGGTGATGAGGCATTTTGCAGGGAGACGATGATATATTTACTCAAGACAACATATTTGTCAACCACACCGACAAAAAGGCTCACTTGCAGCCTCCTATGAGGCAAACAGTGGCTGTTTTCAGTGGAAGGAGGAATCCCAACGACAACCATTATTCTCGGCCACTCCGTTAACTTCTCATTTCTGGGTCATCAGACAAGTTTTGGAGATTTTGCCATGTTCCATTATAGCTTGTCTTCAATTACAGGCCCGACAAGCGTTTCTATACACTCTCAGAAAGTCTTTTTTTTTAAATTATGAATTGTTGCCCTGTTGCGGTGTTTTCTTTCTTATGCCTTGCATTTTAATCGTTAAGTTGCTAGGTTTCGTCTAATATATTTCAAGAATATTCAAATGCATTTTTTGACGACACGTACTGTGTATTAGCATCAATTGCGTTTTAAAAAAAGTTTGAAACTTAGTTATGTCATCATATGTTTCAAAGTCTTAACAAAAAAGAAAGAATTTTTTTCATATATATTCATTGCTTTAATTATGGAATATATACTACTTGAAACAAGTATGGAACGTAAAATATCTTGTTTATTTGGTGGATATTTTTACATATATGTCGAAGGTATTTGGTTTGAACCCCAATCATGGCCACATTTTTTATTGATTTTTACAAATTACATAAATAGTCCTCAATTTTTGAAATTTACTGTAATAAATTACTTAATGAAGTGCAAACATTTTTAAATTTTACAACATATTTATAAATAAGTATTTGCAAACAAATGAAGTACAGACCTTGGCTAAACATATTTAAATTTTATTTTCTGTTGTTGTGGATAATGCCTCACAAAATTTTGGCATGTTGGATGGCATTAGGGATTGGTTGAATAGGAAGAGTGCACTTGTTCGTCATAATGAGATGTTTCATATTCGATGTTCTGCTCACATTATGAATTTAATTGTGAAAAAAGGAATGGATGTGATTCAAGAATTAATTGGAAAAATTTGTGATAGTGTAAAATATGTGAATGAGTCAGTATAAAGAGAAGAAAAATTCCATCTTGCCTTGGTTCAGACTCGACTAAATCCAAAGAGACGAGTAAGTTTGGAGTGCGATACTAGGTGGAATTCAACATATGATATGGTTATGAATGCCCTTGACCTCAAAGAAGCATTTAAGTGTTTGGTTGAATTAGACAGTAATTACATTTACTTGCCATCCAAAGAAGAGTGGGAAATTGGTGCTAAGATTTGTAAGCATTTGAAAATTTTTAAAAATGCAACTGACGCACTTTCTGGGAGTAAGTATCCAACAGCCCCTCTTTACTTCACTTTTGTTTGTCAAATAAGGGAATGCTTGAAAGAGCGGTGTAAGAGTATAGATCCTGATATTTCAACAATGGCACTTTTTATGCAAACAAAGTTCGATAAATATTGGGATGAGTGTAGTATGGTTTTGACAATTGCTTCAATTCTTGATCTTAGATATAAATTGACACTTGTTAAAGCTGCTTTTGGGAGTAATGATGATGCTAATCCAAATAGTTTTGTAAGTAGAGTGCAAGCTTTTTGGAAAGATTTGTTTGTGGAGTATGATGATCAAGTTACATCTCTTGATGTGGGTATTTCTATGTCTGATTCTTCTCGTCGCATTGAGAGCTTGTCAAATGATGAGATTGAGTGTCCTCTTTTAGCTAGGTTTAGGGAACTTGCTGCTCAGTCTAATGTCACTTCCATTACTAAAAAAGTGAGATTGATTTGTATCTTGAGGAGGGATCAGTGTATGAACAAGATAATGCATTTGATGTTTTGAATTGGTAGAAGCATAATGGCGGTAGGTACCCGATTCTTTCAAAAATGGCTCGTGATATATTAGCCATGCACAAACGTGCCTTCTAAGTCTACTTTTAGTCGTGCTCGTAGAGTTATTGAGGATACACGTGCTCCACTTAACTCGGACACAGTTGAGGCTTTACTTTGTGTGAAAGATTGGTTGCCTACTATTGAAGGAAAGGTTAGTATCATCTAACTTTTCTTTAATAAATACTATTTATAAGAGAACAATATATATATGTATATTTTTTCTTTTGTAATGCAATACATATTATATATTCACTTTTAATCTTATAGATGTTGAGTGAAGGCAAATCATTGAACTTTGGAGCATAAATAACTTATGACGGTAAACTTCTATTACTATGCTTAGTTGTTTGTGTGGTCCTAATATATTCATTTATTAAATATGTAATTCTATTTTAGTTTAATGAACTAATTTTGTGTACAGGTTGAAGATTGAAGATGTTTTTGCTAATGGGTTTCTTCACAACATCTCAGAACTGCAAAAATAAGTTGTCATACTGCATAAATTATTCTCCCGGTCCTATTTTAGAACTTTGTGCTTTTTGGGTTAAATGTTGTAAGAACATTGCATTTAAATTTGTTGTTGGCTTGTTGTTGGAGTGTTGGACATTTGACAATTAATATGTTTGATGCTATGTTTAATTTCCTTTTTGAACTGGTTTGTTGTTTAATTTTATTTATGATTCGGATAATCGAGTACGGATATTGGATTTTCGGATTTGGTGTAAACGGATAATCGGATTCTCGGATTTTAGGAAATTTAAATACTTAAATGGATATTCGGTCGGATACAGATATATCTGAATCCAAAAAAAATCCGACGGATTCAGATTTGAAAGTCAGAACGTCCGTCGGGATTTAGATGCGGATTCGGATGATGTTTCGGCTAAACGGATGCGATACGGATGTTGTATATCCGAGGCAGATTTTATCCGTTTACAGCTCTAGGGAAAAGGAATAAAATAAGAGGAAAAACAAATTATCTTTTTTTTGGTTAGAAAGGAAAAGAAAAGAAAAGTGGGAAGGAAAAGAAATGGGAAAAAGATAAAAGTAGGACTAAAACATTGAAAATATACCAAAATAAGACTTCCATGTTTTTATTCCCGAAATAGGACTTACATTACCAAACATGGTCATATACATTACAAAAAAAGTATAGTAATGTGCACATTTACACTGTCACATTACCACAGTGCAAAGTCACATTAACGCAGTGCAAAGTCCTATTTTGGGAGAAAAAACATAAAATTTCTATTTTGGTACTTTTCTCTATGTTTTAGTCCTATTTAGGGTGATTTCTAAAAAGAAATTGAGAAAGAAAAATGAAGAGGAGGAAAAAATAAGATTTGTCTTATTTTGGTGAGAAAAGTGAGAGAACCATTTTGTTTTTTATTTGTCTAATTTCTTGTATCAAATATAGTGTAAGACTAATGTTCTTTTTATCTAATGGGTCATGCTAGGGGTACACCAAAGGTGTACTCCATTTGTACACCACCCCTTCAATAACCACTCATTTATTTTTGATTTTTATTTACTTATTTTTTTTTTAAATTTTCTTGCCTAATTGAGTGGTAATGGAGGGAGTGAGGGACAAATGGAGTACACCTTTGGTGTAACCCTAGCATTTTCCTTATCTAATTGATCTCATCTACAACTTTTTTTTGCTTACTTTTTTTGTCAACCCTCCACCCCTTAACTCCTCAAACCACTTCATAGTTTATAAACCCATGACTTCATGCCCAAATCCAATTCTGCTTGACTGATTAATTTCATCTGTGCATGTTATCATAGATGCCATATCTTGTTTGACATAATAATTTTCCCTTAAATTTTACTGTAAAATCTGTAGGTGAAGGGACACTCAAAATTTAGTATTTCTGGCATTTGACGAAGCACGTGGCATCATCAACGGAGTTACCTTTTTTATTTTCTTGAAGGTGAAAGTTCTTGTTTCTTATTTGTTATATATTTTAGTGTAATTGGAAAAACTATGACCAAGGATATCCTAATAATCATCAAAGAAGTTTAATGGTGCGGAATTCCGTTTTATCGGGGTTCCAAGGAGGCAGCCGGGGTCGGGGGCAGCGCCCCTGAGCAGGGTTCAAGGGGCGGCAGCCCCTGCGGGGTCCAAGGGGCACAACCCTTAGCTGGGGTCGGAATTTTTTTATTTTGGACAAAATGCTATGTTAAAAAATTCAATTGAATTTTTATTTTCGAATTTTCTTTAAAGGAAAATTCCTTAAGGATAACATTGATTTTGTAAAGGGTTTAGCGGGAAGGATCGCTTGTCTTGGATAGAAGATGCTATGGCGTCTTCTCTTCTCCACCGTAACTCCATATATTCCTTGAGGTCTTTGGTCTAAAGTTCGTTCGAAAATTTTACAGCAATCCCATATTCGTCCTTGTTACTTTTGAGTTTTATCCGATTGAATTTTGGATTGAACAATTAAAATATTCAATCTAAAAGTGTTATACACGAATCTCGATTGATCCACGTTTTTCCTTTTTTTCCCCAACATTATTTGTCTCTCTCTTCAACATTTGCGAAGGCACCGTGTTGTGAATGAAAGGACAGTTTTTAAGCAAGCACATGTCGTGGGATGAAGTCATAATTCAGATGGCATTGCTGTGGCGGTAGGAACATATATTTTATTCAGATTAAACCTTTAGGTAAATTTATACTTGTACTCTTTCATTTGCTTTCAAAGTCTTAATTCCAACTGATAAAACAAGTTGTATTATTAGGACTAGAAATCCATACATGGCATATGAAGAAGAAAACATAAGTACTGAAAGAGGGTTATAAATGTAAATACTAAATATAATGATGTTGAAGGACTTTTCTACCAAATCATTATCCTTCTACCATTGTAACTTTTAGGCCCAAAGGGTGATCACTTTGTAAAAAAAAGAAAAGAAAGAAAAATAATATATGCGGAGTTTAGGGCACACCATTATCAATAATCTTCCAATCAAAATCCCCCCCTTTCCCTCTCACACTTACTCTGCACACAGGTATGTACCTAAATTTTCTTCTTTTATGTTATGATTGTTATTGTTTTTATGCTGAACTTATGAAATGTGAGTTTTATGTTTTTCTTCTCCATTAAAGTAATTAAGTTGCTATAGTGTAAATGATAGTGTAGATATAGTTTGCGGAATGCGAGCTTAATGAACTGGTTTGTTTAGGTTCTTTCTTTGAAAATTTAGTAATTGATTACTTGAGGTTGTATTTGATTGAACTTATACGTGACAGTTGTGCTTGCATTGTTGGGTGCACTAAAAATTTGGATTTTGGAGTAACCAATGATGTGGTTATTTGTATTGTCCTTCAAAATGTGTAAATATCGCAATTCAGATGTAGAGTAAGCTTGGCCAGAGATTATGTGGATTAAGATAGAGAAAATGGTCACTCAAGTTAATCAAGCCAATAAACAAACAAGTTGAATGACTGCGAGAACTAAAGTGATCTGTTTCATGACAATGAGATGAACTAATTCTTCTTGTAGTAGTTGGAGCCACATTTTAGGTCACTTCTAAATACTTTTGTAAAATATACTCACTCGTGGAACCCAGATCTAAATTTCACTCTTAGTTGTGACGAATCCTACTCCTTCCGTTTAATGGACCCTCCGCCTCTAATGTACCTCAATATGACTTTTTAGTTCTTCTTATCCGTAGCTCTTACTCTTGCTCCTGTTCTCCTAGAATTAGGAGAACTGAATAACGATAAAGTGATTGATGTAACTCTTCTTTTCATGCCATAATTTCCGTATCGAGAACTTCTGCTTCTACTTTTATTTATCCTAGAAACAAAAAAAATGACAACAAGGTGATCGATGTTTCTCTCTTCTTTTACACTATGATTTCACCGTTGAGGACTCCTACTAATGTTTTTAGTAACAACAGAATGGTAATCAGATGGTTGATGTTTCTCTCAGTTGATCCATTGAATCATAAAGTCTTACTTAAAGAGTTTAGCTTTGGAATGAAACGGCTAGGAGTGGTCATGCATCCAATACTAATCAATAACACGCTGGCACATAAATTCATTAAGTAAAATATAGATGGTTGATTTCAATTCTTGAAATATTTTTTGTTTTCTTTTGTAATTTGCTTGATCTGTCATATTTATACCTATAAAGTCCCAAAATGTGTGTCAACCATTCAAGTTCTCACCCTTGTAGTTCATTCTCTGGTTTCCATGAATGTGAAAGGTTGTGCGTGTTATACCCAGTAATGAAATAAGAAAAATAGAAAAAAGTTCCGTACATATGCATAAGGCCTTTGAAAAGGCAAATATACAAAAAGAAGTGTATAGTTGAAGGTTATTTTTCTATTCTTTCTTATTTCACACCTTCATCACCAATACGGAGTATTATGTTACCTTTAAAAAGGTGGGAGCATCAAATTTGTCTAAGAGAGTCATGCTTATAGTCATGCTTGCCTATAAAAGTTTTCGGAGTGGTTTGGCATTTCCAAAGACAATGGTGTAGAAGATGAAATCTTGCTACTTAGTTTAATGTTGAAGTTGAAAGAAAAAGAAAATCTTAGGTTGATGCTGCATGCCTTGGGTACATGACTTTAAGACTATTTGATGGATTTATGTGGAGAATCATTTTATAGGAAAGTTTCATGATTTGACAACTGATGTAGTTTTTATTACCCTTTCTAAGTAAGACCAAAACATGTTGTGGCCTCCCCTTCTAAGTGTTCCCACCTCAACCTTTTACAGTGGAAATCATTTGGTAATGTCTAGAAACTCTTCAATTGCCACCAAGAACAGCATTGGAAGTGGTGATCATGATTTTGAGGAAAGTAGGCAAAACCTTGGTGAGGGTTCAAGCCCAAGTATGGTTGCAACGACTTTTGCGGTAGAGGAACACTTTAGGTTATGAAAAGGATTGTTTTAAATGATGATAATAATTCATCATTGCAAAATTGCCTTGATGAGCTCCATTAATGCTGCTCTAAAGCTGTTGAACAAGAGAGTTGTAGCGAACATGCTGATTCGATTACTCCAACTTTTGAAGTCATAATTGCTCATAAAGACTTAGGGCTTGTTCTCTTCACCTAATCTGATCTGGTTGGAATATGTTCTGATCTGGTCTAATCTGATCTGAATGTAGTTATATTTAAAGCTATTTCTGATCCGGTCTGATCTGATCTGAACTAATTTCAATAAGAATAAACAATAAGTAATGAGAATAAGTTGAAGAGAACAGGCTCTTAGTGCTTTGCTTAAGATGTGGTTGCAATTATGAGGCTCTGGATTTCATAGGAGAAGACCTGAAATTTTGCTTGAACTGCAAACATTTAGAAGTTCTTTTGGCTACAACTACTACACTAGGAGCAAACATTACAAGATGGGTGTCCTTCATAACCTTCTGCAGAGCTTTTAGAACATGTGTCCTGTAGAATTAGCTGAATATTTGGAACCAAGTACAAGCGAGCAGTGAACACTTGGAAGATCATTTTACTATTTTAGTGCAACTATCAAGGATGCAAGACCACCAGTGGAGAAGGAAAAAGATGTTAGTCAACTACTCTTATCGCGTGGATAAGAGTAATAATAATAATAGTAGTAGTAGTAGATAGTTGCGAATATGGAACCACTCTTATCGCCTGGCTTTGTCTGTGATGCTCTTGATGTTGGGGTTGATAATTATACAATAATGATTGTATTAGATGCTAGAGAATCATTTATGGGGCTGGATTTGCTTTTCACGAGTGATGGCTGATGGTGTAAATTACTTGACCGGTCAAACTATACTAGACCGGGTCTAGAATAGTTTGCTTGATTTGGTAAAGTAAGAAAGGTAAAAACACGCAGATTGACCGGTAGGACTTTAGGTGGAACACCTGTAGCCCAATTTATATTATAACGGAGAATGCACGGGTGCTTTTACAAGGGAGTTTAGAGAGAATGAATTCGGATCCCTCTTTTTGAGGTTTACATGAGTATTTATACTAGGCTAAGGGAGACAAGACCACGTGCGCCCACGTGGGGGCATGCTGCTGATGTGGTGCGAGGTGACTGGTTTCGTCCTTGAGCTGCCTTGTCATCTTGCGAGTGGTGTTGTGCCCTTGTCGTGTTCTGGTTTGGAAAAGTTCCTTTGGCATCTCCACTGATTCTCCAGTAATGTCAGTCACAACAGTCCAAGTCCTTTTGGACTCTTCCTGCCGACACTTTCCAATCATTAAAAACTGCACCGGTTGGTTCTTGAGGGTTGGATCTGCTAACTTCAAAGGATGAATTAGACCCCGGCATAGTTTGACCGGTATACTATCCGAAACATACTGGTCAAGTTTTTGGGTCAACCCTCTATCCTTCCAGTGATGATCCATCTCTCTTCCAAGTTCGAACTCTTTGACCGGTCAACTATCTGGTTCTGACCTTTGGCCGGTCATGGGTGAAATACACCCATCAATAAGCCCTCCACTTCTCGGTTATGCAATTTTGTCATAAGCGGGAAGTAAAAATTCTGAAACAGGACTTTAAATTTCGAAATCTTGGCTTTTCCCGCCTAAAATTTTCAAAATTTGAATTTTGAAAGTACCGAATTTGACACGTGCCGCGTGCTGGCCCAGCAACGGTCGCGTCCTTCCTTCTCCCCATGCGTGATGATTGCGCCGCCTGACGCGGCGCGTCCTGCTGAGGCCACGTCGCCTCTGCTAGGATTCTTCTCGCCTATATAAAGGCCTCCAACCTCCTTCACTTCTCACTTTTCGCGTTTTGAGTCTCTGAGCCCTCACCGGTCAAGTTCCCTTCTTTCGCCTTCCAGCCCTCCGAGTCAAGTAAGCTTCCTCTCTTCCTCGTTAGCTTTTCTTTTCATTCTTCGTTCCCTTTCCTGGTTATGTCTTCCCCCGGTAGTCATAGGATCTCGTCCTCAGATGATTCCTCATCTGAGGATTCCACCTCCTCTTCTTCGACCGGGTATTACTCCTCGGATTCCGTACCCGGTCAGATCCCCAACCCTTCCATACCTGAGCCGCAGCTTGTGAATCAAATGCCCGGTCAGGTTGCTGCGGAGGGGGAGGAACCGGTTGACAACGAACCGGTCCTTATGACCCAGACACCGAGTCCTGGGAGGAGTAGGAAGAGCGGCTTCGAACCGCCGGTTACTTTCCACTCCCTACATATTATGTCCTCGACATTTCCTCCCATGTATCCAAAATTGCCCTGAATAAAATCCGTTGGAGGCTCCCGGATGGTTATACCCTCCTGTATGAGCATGACTGGCCTAACATCATAGAACCCCACCGGGAAGATAGGATAGGGTTTCATACGGTTTCCCTGGACGCGGGCATTGTTTTTCCCCTGCGCCCCCTCCTTACCGAAGTTTGCCACGCGTTTAGGATTTTGCCCGGTCAGATAACCCCTAACGCGCATCCTTACCTGCACTCCTTTGTAAATATTTGCTCCCACCACAAAATAGACCCTTCTTTGCGTCTTTTTCTCTTCTGTTTCGAAGTCCTACTGGGTGGGACCAGTTGTGAGGGCTTCGTGTATTTTAAAGGCCGCACCGGTAGGAAGTTCATTTCTGACGTCCCCCAAAGCAACCGGGGGTGGAAAGAAAAGTTTGTTTTTATCGAGTTTCCCCCATTCGTTACCCCCTTAGCCGGTCTAAAATGGAACGACCACCTCCTCAACCATGAGTACACCTTACCGGCCTCCTCCCCCGATCTTGAAGCAAGTGTTGAGATCCTTCGTCGTGGTGATCCGTTCACCGGGAGGAAGTATAATTATGAGAGCTGGGTCTGGAGGGTCGAATCGGGTGGCGAGGGTACCTCCCCGGCCCATGACGCAGCGGGGCGCGGGGTACCCTCCCCGGGCAACACTGCGGAGGCTGAGGGCAACTCCCACCCAGGTATTTCTCGTTTATCTCGCGTCTTTTATCTAACCGGTACCTTCTATCATACTTAGCACCTTCTTGTTGGTTCTCGCAGATATGGAATTCGAGGAGTTTGCCATCCCCGAAGACCAGCCAGAGAGGGATGCCGGTGATTCCCAGATTCCCGCAGCCAAAACTTCAACGGTCAACCGCGAGACCGTGAAAATTCTCGATGAGGATGAGCATGCGGATGACCGGTTGAAGGAGAAGGGCAAGGAGAAGGTCGGTCGCCGGCAAAAGAAGGTGGCCACCACCCATCCTTCCTACGGCAAGAAGAGGGCGAGGTCAGATCCTGAGCCGGCTTCCCAGTCCATTGAAGAGGCCTTCGTCAATCTAGGCCTAAGGCTAAAAGAGGTAAGCCTTACTTTTGTACCGGTCAAAGTCTTCTCCTTTGATGAGAGTCTAACCGGTATGTTTATATGTGCAGGCAGGGGAGATCAGGCCCTATGCGGCTGAGCGGCTGGGGATGGGCTCTCCTACAGAGTTGGCCCGGTTGAAGAAGGAAAATGAGGAGATGGCTCACATCCTGAAGAGCCAGGCAGATGAGCTCATCCGACTCTCTGGTTTGACCGGGACAATGAAGGCGGAGATCTCCCAGCTCAAGGAAGAGAATGGTCAGCTCATGGACGAAGTTTCTGCGACGAAGAAGGAGATGGCACTGAAGGAGCAAAGCTTCCCCAGTCGTGCAGCTGCATGGGTGAATGAGAACAGAGCCGAAGCCGCCCGGGTGATGACGGCAAGCCCGGAAGCTACCATGGAGTCCTTCAGGCTTCTTTACCGGGAGCCTGAGGGGAAGAAGATGATTACCGCTATTGGGTCCTTCGGGTTCAAGAGCGGTCAGAAGAAAGACCGGGCTGCTTCTCACCGGGTCCTAAAGAAAAGGGACCCAGACTTCAGTGCAGCTGCCTATGGCTTGGCCCCGATTCCGGAGGAAGAGCCTACTCCCCCTTCCCCCTAGATTGATCTCCCGGCTGCGCCCGGTTGAGTTGGTTTGTAAAATTTCAAACTTCATTTTCCCGGGAATGCCCGACGTATCTGTAAACATTTAACATTCACTTTCCGTTTGGATGCCATGTTTAATTTCCATACCGGTGGATCTTGCTTCTAGATTGATTCTTTTGTTTTGCTTCTGCTTTGCTATCTTACTTTAACCGGTACGCATGCCACCTGATAAATGTCTGCCGGTAAAACCCCAACTTTCTTTCTTGAATGTCTTCATCTTGATGATCAACTTTAAACAGTGTGACCGGCTAAACTTCATTTTGGCTTTTGGATACCTTCATTTTTCCAGAGAATTCTTCGATAAAGTACAGTTCGACCGGTAGGAATGCACTTCGTGGTCCGACCGGTCAACCACTTTGCCTTGAGTAACTTTCGAAGTTCTGTTGTTTCGATACCCAACCGGGGTTTTTTTTTAACCGGTAAGTTGTAGATGGAAGCACCTGTAACCTAGTAATTCTTGAAGTATCCTTAACCGGTAAGAATACTGGAGATTTAACCATGTCGAATGGTTTCGAACCCTCTCCAAGGTTCAAATGCACCCTTCTTCCAGGGCCCCCTCTTCCGGGTGATTAAGTCTTTTAATGACCCTTTGATTTCTACTATCCCGGGAAGGCCTTAGCTCACCCCCCGTTCAAGTCTTCCCTGAGAAGGGGGAAACAGGATGTGCCACGGTGGACGATCCCCTTCTATTTCTTTTAACGGGCATCTTTTAGTCCCCAATCAATTTGACGGTACTAGCTGATTCCCCGATACCGGTCAAACCTCCTGGTCCAGCCCTCTTGCAGGCATACCCTCTTCCGGGCCCCTCTTCCGGGTTTTAATATTTTTTCTATTATACTGAGCAAGACCGGTGTAGTAACCAGCGTGCCAGGTCCGGGCCTGTGTCTCAGTTGGCTTATCCAAGTAGATTCGATCTACCCGGGAAGCCCTCCTAGGATAGGTTCGACCTATCAATTCCGCCGCTACCAAGCAGAGTATTGAACATCACTTTGATTGACAATGTAGTTAGGCCTCGCCTAGTATTACAATCATTTGTAGAACTTGCGAAGATGGTGGGAATTCCAAGTTCTTTCTATCGGTACACCATCTAAAGTTTCTAACCGGTAGGTTCCTGGGCGAATGATGGCTCTAACCCTGTATGGGCCTTCCCAGTTTTTTTGCCAGCTTCCCTCCATCACCGGGTCTACTTGCTTCTCTTCTTCGTAGGACTTCATCTCCAACTTGGAAGTATCGCGGCCCAACCTTGTTGTCATGGTACTTGTTCACAACTTGTTGGTATGTACTCATTTTAACCTCCGCGGCCATTGTTCGTTCTTCGACCAAGTTGAGCTCGGCCAAGTGATCTTCTTCATTTTGCTGGGGCTGATAATTTCATTCCCGGAACGTTGGGAATTCAGCTTCGATGGGCAGCCTTGCTTCACACCCATAGGTTAGGGAGAATGGAGTTTCCCCATGAGCCCTCCTGGGTGTTACTCGGAATGCCCACATGATGTGCGGGAGCTCCTCTAGCCACTTGTTTCTTACTTCTCCCAGCCGTTTCTTCAAACCATCTACAATAGTTCGGTTGGCGTTTTCAACTTGGCCATTTCCTTGGGGGTACACCACCGAAGAGCGATTGTGCTTGATCCCGAAGCCCTCCAAGTATTCGGTGAATCTTGGATTTCGGAATTGTGGGCCATTGTCGGTGATGAGGTTCATGGGCGCTCCAAACCTCGTGATGATGTTCTTCCAGATGAATTTCTTACATTGTTGCGTGGTAATGTTGGCCAATGCTTCGGCCTCAATCCATTTGGTGAAGTAATCGATGGCTACGATTACGAACTTCTTCCTTCCTTGGGCGACTGGAAAGGCTCCAATGATATCAACCCCGAATCTAGCGAATGGGATGACATTCGATACGGGGTGATAGTAGGTCGCCGGTCTACCGGGATATTTGTAGAACACTTGGCATGTTCTGCATTTCTGAACATACCTTTCACAATCCTGGACAATTGTTGGCCAGTAATATCCCAATAAGATGATGCGCTGGGAAAGCGTAGGGGACATTTGATGCGCCGCGCATACGCCTTCGTGGACCTCCGCTATGACTCGCTCAGCCTCCCGGTTGGTTAGACATCTCAGGAGTGGCCCCCCGAATGCCCTTTTATACAGCTTTCCATCAAGAACCTGGAATCGGGGTGCCCTGAGCTTCACTTTTCTTGCCCGGTCACCTTGTTCTGGCAAGCTCCCATCCATCAAATATTCCATCAGATCATACATCCAATGGTCGTCCGCTCCGACCAGGTTTGACCGGTCAGATTGTCTTCCGGCTGCTATAGCGGCGACTTCCAATTTTTCGATATTGGCTCGATCCAGGATCTCCACCCGGGCAAGTTTCGAAACATGCTCGGGGGCATACTGCGTCAACTTGGAGAGAAGGTCTGCATCCGCGTTCTCCGCCCGGGGAATTTGGGAGATCTTGAATTCCTCGAAGCCTTTCCACAGGGCGAGCACGAGCTCCTTGTATTGTGCCATGCGTCCTTCCCTTGCTTCCATGTTACCGGTCACTTGCCCAACAATCAGGCTAGAGTCAGATTTGATACTCTGGGCCGACTAAAAGTCCCGAACCCGTTCAGACTCGGGAGGTCGGTCTCGAAGTATAAGACGGAGTAACAAGCAGTCGAACTTCAACTTCTGCTAACGTACCATCTAGAACTTGGGAAGACCCCACCACTTGTGCTATGGTGGGGGCATAGGAGATCCTGGCCTACGGGGTACAACTGCCATCTCCCACCATTGCTCAGTGGGCTTGTTGACCGGTGGGTCTGGAGTTAGACCGGTCATTTCTACCAGGAAGTCTGCAAGGGCTTGTCCCTTGATTGCTGATCTTGGCCGATACTCAATGTTGAATTGAGTTAACATCATCGCCCACTTCACCATCCTCCCGGAGGATGTTGAATTTCGCAACACTGAACCCAGCGGTTGGTCGGTCAGGACTTCTACCGGGTGAGCTTGGAAGTAGGTTGTTAACTTTTTTGCGGAGATGAAAAGCGCATAGGCTGTCTTTTCCATCGCCGTATACCTACTCTCAGCTCCGTTTAGTGCTTTGCTCACATAATAAATGGGCTTTTGTGCCCCATCATCTCTTATTAAAACGGAGCTTACAACATTTGGGGAAATTCCCAGGTACAAATACAGAGTTTCACCCGGTTTGGGTTTAGACAATACAATATCCGACGCTAGGTACTCTTTCAGCTCCTCAAATGCCCTCTGGCATTCTTCGTCCCATGCAAATGTATTGGTCTTCTTCAGAACTTTGAAGAAGGGCAGAGATCTCTCAGCTGACCGGGAAAGGAACCGGCTGAGGGCCGCTAGACGACCGGTCAACTTGTGAACATCCCTAACGGAGGTAGGGGCTTGCATTTCAGTGATGACCCGAATTTTTTCTGGGTTGGGCTCTATTCCTCTCTTGGTCACCATGAATCCCAAGAACTTCCTGGTACGAACCGCGAAGACGCATTTCTTAGGATTCAGCCGGAGGTTGTATTTTGCCATGATATCGAATGTGGCTCGCATATCAGCCGGGTGGTTGAGAGATACCTGGCTCTTGATCAGCATGTCGTCGACGTATGCTTCCATGGTCTTTTGCCAGTAGTGGCTTGAAGAGTTTGTTCACCATGCGCTGGTAGGTTGCCCCCGAGTTCTTCAAGCCAAACGCCATTACCCGGTAGCAGTAGGTTCCTACAGGTGTGAGGAATGACGTCTTCTCTTCATCTTCCTTGGCAATGTAGATTTGGTGATAACCCTTGAAGGCATCCATGAAACTTAGGAGTTCGCACCCCGCAGTTTCGTCCACCATTTGATATGGACTGGGAAGGGGGTATGAATCCATCGGACAAGCCTTGTTCAAGTCCGTATAATCCACACACATTCTCCACGTGTCGCCCTTGGGAGCAAGGACAACGTTGGCCAGCCAATCCGGGTATTTGACTTCCCGGATGTGACCAACAATGAGGAGGTCCTTCACTTCCTTCTTGACGAAGTCTCGCCGGTCACTGGCCAGGTACCGCTTCTGAGGTACCGGTCGACTTCCTTCCCTCACGGCCAACCGGTGGAAGATAACAGAGCGATCTATTCCGGGCATATCCGCCACGCTCCATGCGAATATGCCCGCGTATTCTTGGAGGACCCGTGTAATCTCTGCCTTGAGATCCTCGGGGAGTTTTGCTCCAATTCTGACCATCCTCGAAGAATCACCCGGGTGAAGTTCGATTTCCACCGTCTCGGCCTCGGGCTCCAATTTTTCCCGGGTCTCTCCCTTTGCGACTTCTTGGGAGATGACATTGACCCCTTGGTCATCTTCTTGACTGCCCGGGCATAGCATTCCTGGGCATTCCTCTGGTCACCCTTCACCTCACCCACACTACCTGGAGTGTGGAACTTCATGCATAGGTGAGGCATGGAAATCACCGCCCCGACTCTATTGATGCCTGGCCTTCCAAGAATTGCGTTGTGGACGCACTTAATGTCCACAACGATGAACCGCATCTTCTTCCACACGGTCTTCTCGCCTGATCCTAGTTCGACCGGTAGAACTATGGACCCTTCAGCTTCAACGGTGTCTCCCGTGAATCCTGAGAGAGGGGTTCAAGTTGCGTCCGACACAACCTGAGTTTTTGGAAAGTCTCCAGGTGTAAGATGTTGACACTGCTGCCAGTGTCAACAAGTACTCGGGCGACATCCACCCCATTAATGTCCATGGTGATGACCAATGGATCATTGTGATCTTCACAGGTAGGGGGGAGATCCCGGTCAGTAAAGACGATCGGCTCCCTTCTAGTATGCTTACGCCTGGGCAGTTCAGCACTTACTTCACCAACGTAAATGCTCCGGACCCAGTTCTTCCGCTGCGCGGCTGAATCTCCACCCTCAGGTCCGCCGAAGATCATGCCGATGTGCTCTTTTTTGGGAGCAGGTTGCCGCTCCCTTGGCCGGATATTTCTCCGCCGGTCGTTGTCCCGGTCATCTCCCGGGGCAGCTGGCCTAACCCATTGATGACTCTTCTCCTGGGCTTTCTGCAAGTAATCCTTGCCCAGCTCTCCACTGTCTATCATCTGCCGGATGACCCCCTTAACACTTTTGCATTCGGAGGTGTTATGGGAATCTGACCTGTGGTACAAACAATAGGTGCCCGACCACTGCCGCCCTGTTTGACCGGTAGAATTTTCTGGAGGAATGACCGGTGCTTTTCGGATTTCTTGGCATTCTTCCGTATTGACCATACGGACGACCGGGTCATAGTGGTGTCTTGGCCTGCTAGGTCCCGGTGCTTCTTCCTTCTTGACTTGCACCGGCTTGGGCTTGTAACCATGCTCGGCTTCTTTCTTCTCCCGGAGTTGAGTTTCAGCGTCAGCAAACTCCCATGCAGTATGGTAGGCCTCTTGGTACGTGGCCGGGGGTTTCCGGGAGAACTCCTTGTATAGTTCCCCGGCACGCAAGCCATTCAAGAGGAGGGATAAGACGGTTTTGTCATCCATCTTTTCCACCTTGTCTACCTCTTCCTTCCACCGGGTAAGGAACTGAGTAAGGTTCTCAGACTCCCTCTGCCCGGCTGTACTAAGATAGGTGAATTTCTTCCTCTTAGTACAATTCTCCTGGAACTTGGCCTTGAACTTCGAGGCCAAATCACTAAACGAATCAATGCTTCCCGGGCGAAGCTTATTGAACCATTCAGTGGCTCGGTTCCGCAAGGTCTGGAAGAAAAGAAGGCACTTTTCTTCATCGGTGCAACCGTTCATGGTCGCACTCTGGTTGAAGGAGTTCAGATGGATTTCCGGGTCTTCCTTCCCGGTGAATCTTGGGGCGTCGATCTTGACCAATCGCGGGAAAGGTGTCAGATGGACCCTTGTGGTGAACGGGGACCTCGCCAGGGGTTTGTCCCGGTCATTCTTCTCCCCGACCTTCTTTTCCAGCCTTTCCAGTTTTGCCTCCATCTGCTGGACGCGGTCATTTGGGATGGTCAACCGGTTTGCCACCGGTAACCTGGGCTGGCTCTCTGCTTCCTCCTCCTGACGAGAGGCCCTCGTCTTCGCTGGCTCCTGCCAGTTAGACTGGGAGCGCCGGGTGTGGGCAGGCTCGGCCTCCCGCACCTCGCCTAGCCGGGCGAACGCGCTGACATGGGCAACGCTGTGCCCCAGCCTTTGCTTGGCTGACTTCCTCTGGCCTTCCTCCCTATCCCCCAGCCTTTCGAAGGCGGAGTTTCGGGAGGTCGCTGGCCGGATGTTTTTTCCTTTCTTCTTCTTGTGGGCCCTCGGAATGTCCCACTCGCCGTCATCACTCTCAATTGAGACGCAATGACCATCAGGGGTGACTTGCGGATTCGTACCTCACGGGGGACGCGACGGACCTGCAGTGTTAAGCGCGCCAGTCAAGTTGACAGGGGCCATGGTGCTGACCAGCTGCGGCTGGAAGGGTGATGGCTGCGGCATCGGCGTCTGGAACGGCGTCACTGCCATTGGAGCTTGTAGGGGCACGGTCCCCGTGCCTGGAAGAGCAAACGGGAACATACCAGGGAGAAAAGGCATCCCCCCATTCTGTTGGCACATGGCCATGACCTGGCCAAAGCCCTGGATGGCTTGTAGGTTGGCTGGGTCATTCATGAACTGAGTCATGCTTGGTGGGAACGTGACCCTCGGTCCAGCAGAAGGGACGGGGGTCGTGAATGGGCTGATCACGCTAGGCGTTGAGACTGAGCTCAGACCCAAAGGCAACACCGGGGCTGAAATGACCGGTAGGGTAGCAGCCACAGGGATGCTGGTACCCTCATTGGTGGCTTGCACCTGAGTGGAAGTAGCGTTGATTTGTTGGCTTGAAGACATTTTGAGTGGTGTTTTCGTGGGTAGGTTTGTGTTTAGAAGAGAAGAAACCTTAACGGTCCCACGGTCGGCGCCAAAAATGATGGTGTAAATTACTTGACCGGTCAAACTATACTAGACCGGGTCTAGAATAGTTTGCTTGATTTGGTAAAGTAAGAAAGGTAAAAACACGCAGATTGACCGGTAGGACTTTAGGTGGAACACCTGTAGCCCAATTTATATTATAACGGAGAATGCACGGGTGCTTTTACAAGGGAGTTTAGAGAGAATGAATTCGGATCCCTCTTTTTGAGGTTTACATGAGTATTTATACTAGGCTAAGGAAGACAAGACCACGTGCGCCCACGTGGGGGCATGCTGCTGATGTGGTGCGAGGTGACTGGTTTCGTCCTTGAGCTGCCTTGTCATCTTGCGAGTGGTGTTGTGCCCTTGTCGTGTTCTGGTTTGGAAAAGTTCCTTTGGCATCTCCACTGATTCTCCAGTAATGTCAGTCACAACAGTCCAAGTCCTTTTGGACTCTTCCTGCCGACACTTTCCAATCATTAAAAACTGCACCGGTTGGTTCTTGAGGGTTGGATCTGCTAACTTCAAAGGATGAATTAGACCCCGGCATAGTTTGACCGGTATACTATCCGAAACATACTGGTCAAGTTTTTGGGTCAACCCTCTATCCTTCCAGTGATGATCCATCTCTCTTCCAAGTTCGAACTCTTTGACCGGTCAACTATCTGGTTCTGACCTTTGGCCGGTCATGGGTGAAATACACCCATCAATGGCAAAGATGGGAAGATTAAGTGGAAATAGAATTGGCACGTGACTGAAGTTCCGTTTGACAAAATCATCAGTTTGTGTTACAAAACCTCGCCCGCCATTGTTTCCAACTCCAAGAGGCGGATGATGTGGTTGGATTAAAATATGCGGTCAACGCTATATGTATTGTATAATGTCTGCAATAGGTATTTTTTTATTGACCTCGCTCATCTTGGGGCTTTGCCTTCACGTAGGCATAGTGATGAGCACTATGCAATGTTGGTTGGTCTAAAAAGTGATGAAGACGACCACTTTGGTCTTATCTAGCAGGACAAGAACACACACACACACACATATATATATGTATATATATATATATATATATATATTTATCTTCTTGCAACCGACCACTGCACAGATGTAGTAATATCAGATAGAAAAGAAAGTTTAAGAGCTTTTTCCCTAGGAGGAGCAGAATTGAAGGGGTATAATCTTACAACATTCAAATTACTTGATGATAATCAACGAGATGGTGACATTGTTGCGCTTGAATCACATCAGCTATGCATTGCTCTTGGTTCTGGCTTGATGCCTTGATTTTAGTTGGTGTCTTTAATATGTAAGTTAGCTTACTTCCTTGCATTTGGTAGGCTTTAAATCACTCTGGCACTCTATTTGCATGTGTTTATTTGTGACAAAGTGTTGGAAAGACATGGAGCTAAATAAATATAATTATGGCATGCATTGGTAACATATGAAATTTTCCAAGTAAAAACTGTTTTTTATCTTCTTTTCTGTAATTAATCTATGTTCCTTTAGCTGCATTCATGGATTAATTATAAAATGAATGTCGATTTGTTGATTCATGCATGGTTAACATGACTTATTTGTGTGCAAAGGGATATTTTTTGTGAATAATCAATAGCATTGAAGTTGTAATTGATCTGAACTATGGGGTTTGGCTATTTTTTCTAAAGTTGTATAGGTTTTAGATATTCAAAGATCAGTTTTTTCTAAAGTTCTGTAGGTTTTAGATGTTCAAAGGTCAGTTTTTACTAAAGTTCTGGTTCTTTTTGGTCATGGGTTACACATATAGAGCTTGTTCTTTAGGAGCATTCATCACTTTTGGCCACTGTTGAATCAAAACCAAGTGAATCTAAAGTTTCAAATTTATATACATGTATGTGGTCATTTGTAGTCGTATGGAGTAGTTAGTAGATATTTAAGAAAATCATTTTTCTACCACCTAAATGCTAATTATGAATTTTCTGATGGTGAGAACGATAACTTGGTGATGGTGTGAAAATGTATATATCTTTAATTTGTTACATGTGTTTCTATTGTTGAACAAATATTTTGCAATGGGGTTGTCATTATCAATCCTGTTCAGTCGTCTGTTAGACAGGAAAGAGAAAATAGAATTTTGATAGTTGGTCTTTGCACTGCTGGTAAGGCTACCATCTTGCGCAAGCTAGCTCTTGAGATCGAGCCCTCCTCATACGGCCAAAGTATGTTCCTACTTCCTCAGATATTTCCAAACTATACTCGTTACTTTGAGTTGTGTATTTTAGACAATATATTCTCTAAAGTTCTTTCTATAGTGAAATAATGATGCATGTTTTCTGTCATAGTAACTGAGAGTGAAAACTCTGTATTCAAATGCTTTTGGTTTTGCCTTCATAGTTTTCCAAGATTTACTTGGGTTCATATCTTACAGGTCTTGTCTTGCCTTCTTCCAACTAAAAGAGCATCAACTTCAGTGTTATGGATGGTTTGCCTAAGCACGAGGTTTGGGTACAAATATGTACTACCTCCGTCTTAGAGTATTTGTCCATTTTTGTAGTCAAAATTGATCAACTTTGACCATTAATTAAATATTGATACAAGAATAATTTTATTAGGTTTATCTTGTAAAATATTTTCAAAATATTATTTCATCTAATTAATATACCATGTATTTTTTATTTAATTATAGGTCAAAGGTCAATCCGAGTTGATTGTAACAAGTCAAAATTGGACAAATACTTTGGGATGGAGGGAGCGAGTCTTTTCTTGGCTATGCATTTTTGACCCCTGCAATAAAATTCATGTAAGGTCCGTGCACATCTTTTTTGTACTGATAGAAGCAAATAGTCTTAGATGTGACTAGGGGTGTATACGAATCGAATCGAAGCAAATATATCACTATTCGATTCGTATTCGATTAAAGTGATATGTATTCGAATTCGGATTCGTATATAATTCGAATTTTAAAAAACATTCGTATTCGATTCGATAGATATTTGACGTATTTGAATTCGTATTCGAATATTCGAATTCAAAAATATTAGAAATTTTTTTCTTAAAACAGATTTCTTAAAGACATTAAATTATTATTTTATAATAATGTAAAATGTAGTAAAAAAGTAGTAAAAATATGTTGGAATATATATAAATTTATATATAAATTATAATATTTAAATATATATAAATTTATATGTACACAAAAATTTAATATGTTAAAATATGTTAAAATATGTACACAAATATTTAATATATTAGAATATATATAAATTTATTTATAAATTATAATATTCGAATAATTTGGAAAATAAACGAATCGAATCTAATAATATTTATATTCAGATTCGAAAATAATTCGAATTTAAAATACGATTTGTATTCGGATTCGAATTCGAATATAGCGAATACGAATCATCCTTTTCGAATACGAAACACGAATCGAATACATTTTATTTGATTTGTATGCACCCCTAGATGTGACCAGCTTCGTTCGGATTTCCAAACCGTGGGGAGATGATGCTCCTAGTTTGCCTCCACAAGTCGAGATAGATCTTCACTCTAGGCTCTTCAAGTTCATCTTTGTTCATAAACGATGTTTGGGGATCTTTTTCCAACAATTGGATGGTGAGAACTCCAAAGGAGAAAAGATACATGCCCAAAAAGCTAGACCATTCTCCTCGCAATTCATATATCCGTGATGGCCTCTTATGTTTTTCTCTCCCACATCAACACAGAGTCTAAGTAGAGCAAATTCGGACTCCTACCTTGTTAATAAACCATCATTAGAAACATGTAGTCAGTTATTGAAGTTAATCTATAGATTTCAATGTTTTAGAATCTAATGGATTGCAATGTGTTTTTTCATAGAGTTTTGGGTATCATTACATCCATCTACATTATTGTGAAGGAGGTAATGTTACCAACAAACCCAATGCTTCAAACTCTGTGATAAAAATCACATCACAACCCATCAGAAATTGCAACCTTGATTGACTTGAATTTTAATGCACTACATGTTTTTAATGAATGTTTATTAACAGGATGGGAGTTCAAAACTGCTTGACTTTGGACTATGTGTTGTTGTGCATGAGAAGAAGATAGGAGGCCATTATAGATATATGATTCCGAAGGAAAATGCTATAGCTTCTTTGGGCGCAAATGTTTTCTTCTTAGGAGTTCTCAACATGCAATTGTTGACAAAAAGTCTTTAAACATCCTTTGTGAACAAGGATGAAGTCGAAGAGCCTAGAACAACCTTCTATCTCGACCAGTGGAGGCAAACTAGGAGCATCATCTCCCCACGGTTTGGAAATCCGAAGGAAGCTGGCCACATCTCAGATCTGATTGCGTAATGGTTTATTACCAGCTTCTTTTACTGGCATCATACTTAGTTTTATGGAATATTGCATTCCTCTCGCAAGTTATGGTGATGCTCGACTCTGTGGAAGGGAATTGTCTTTGTTGTGGATAACAGCAACACAGACCAAATTAGAAGTTCAAGGGAGTTTTTGCATTGGATGTTGGAAGTTTTAAGTAATCATACAAAAGCATGAATGAGTTTCCACAACTATCCTTATCTATGAAATCACTCAAACTTGTTTTACTTCACCCAAATGACTTCTGCTCGTGGAAAAACATTACTCCAACGATGTCTACTATTGGAGATGCTGCTTTGATCATATTTTCCAACAAGCTAAGCAAGATCTGCCCAAAGCAATGAATGCTGATAAGTTATGGAAGAGGCTCCATCTCCATTCTCTCAGCCAGTACAAGTGCAATTGGTAAAGTACTTTAGACAACTATTTACATTTTAGACCATGATTTGGTGTTTAACATAATTGATTTCTTTCTTATGCATCTGTAATTTCTAGGCATGTTTAGAGCAGCTATGCAAACTCTGGAGAGGGGCTTTACGAGGGGTTGATTTGGCTCTCTAACAACATCGTCTCTAGCAAGGCAAGTCCTTTGACTATTTGCATCAAATGTCATTTTTTTTTCTGTTTCCTCATTATGCTTTCTGAGACTTGCTATTGTGTATTCATACAGGCAAGAGATAACACAGTGGAATTTTTTTATTTGATCATAGACATAAGTAGGCCGATTTTTATCTAAGCCTTTTCTCTTGTGCCTCCTTCTTACCCTATGTTTGGTTTGTGGAATTTGAGACGGAAAGAAAAGAAAGAAGTTTTCTCCCGTTTTCCCCACGAAAATACAAGGAAAATTGCTTTCCTTCTTTTTAATTCATTTCTTATTCTATATCCTTTTCCTTCCACTTTTCATTTTTCTTTTCATTTTCTTTTCAAATTCATTGAACCATACATATTGTTAAGGTTTTTCTTCTTTGTTTAGGGGGCAAAATAGATGTAAACAATTGCGTGTTGCTTATACATAAGAGACAACTGAAATTTTAATAACCAAAAAGTAATAATTGAACTTGGAACAAATCACTCATTTATAATGCTTTTAATAGCCAAAAAAGAATAATTGAATTTGGAACAAATCACTCGTTTATAATCCAGAGAAAATCTGTTCCATTATTGTCTAATAAGACAACGTGAAAGACAAACTAGTTGTTAAATTTACTACTACTCCGTAGGTACAACTTAGCTAAAAAGATTGAAATGAGCTCTGGGGCTTCTTCTACCTAGTCCTAATCGATATGAGGTCAAGAATAGGAGTCCCAAATTTATTGTCTTGTCTATTATATTAGGCTTCCATTAATTTTTGTTTACATTTGCATTTTCATTGATCATTTGATAAATAAAACAGTCATATCACCTTACTTTGTAAGAACATGGCAACATAATAATAATAATACTCTGCACATCTTTTTTCAGTTACTATTCACATGATCAAACTTTATTCATTTGTTTTACTAATTTTCATTAGTACTTTGTATTTGATAAAATAATATACTCATATCACATCTATGTTTATAAAACTTTTGATTTATTTTTTTAATATACTAAAATTATTTTTAAATTATAGACGTATAACCAAATACTCCATAAGTTGAACTGAAAATAATTTCGATCGGACCTCGTAAACATAAACAGGAAGTTAGTTTTTAAACTGAGGGAATAATAACAATAAAGTTATATCTTTTTCGTTCTCATATTATCTTCGGTGGGGTTCTAGTGACACCCACTCTTGGTGACACTAGCGGTGCCACTGTCATTTTGGAGCACTTCCGGTGCTCTCTTCGTAAAATTGATGGTTCCTACCCCCGTTAACTTTTATCTTACCTAAAGTTGATAGTAGAATTCAAAGTTGGTATCAAATTTTTTTGTATACCAAGTTATGTATTCTGCTCATAGTATCTTATATATCTAAAATTGATAGTAGACTTAAAAGTTGGTACCACATAAAAAAGTCGCGTGACTTTTCAAAATGATCTAAGAGTGAGTTTTGTTGTAAATCATGGAATTAATTAAAAATCAAAGATAAGAGACACCAAAATAGGAGTTGAGATTACAACAAGTTTGGGATGTTATTAAATTCTTTTGCCCACTTTTTCAAATGAAAAGAATGCACATATATTCTTCACTTTGCATATTTTGTGGGATATAAATGGTAAACTCTCATCCACATGGCTAACGCACATTAGATTTAAAGTGTGGTTGTTGACTCTTGTGCTAGACGGAATTTAACAACTTAGGCACGGCTACACAAATGCAGGAACGGGAAATGCGAGTTCTCTTCCCCGTTAATTACTTTATCTATATAGAAATTATACTTTTCAAACAACATGTCGTTAATTAGACATACAATAACTTTTTCCAAATAAAGGATTTCTAATATTTCGTAAAATAAATTCTCGTACAACGCATGGGCACAAATCTAAGTGAAAGTAATAAAAAAGAAGGGTCAAAATAATACTCCCTCCGTCCCAGAAAACCTTTCTCCTTTCTTTTTTCATCCGTCCCATAAAACACTTCTCATTTCTATTAAAAAGTCACTTTTACTCCTTACTTTTTCATACCCTACCTATCACATCATACCTTTTTACTAATAATCTACCCATCAAATCCTACTTTTACCCATCACATCAAAGTACATTTTTGAAAATTCAATACCAAAATACACTTCCCTTAAATTTCTTCAAAAAGCAAAACATCTCATGTTTCATGGGACGGAGGGAGTATAACTTAAACATATAATCTTTTGGCGAAAGAATATTAAATTTTATGTATTTATCCTATAGAATTTAGGAGGGAGTCTGGTACGGTATTTAGCTCCTATCAATACTGTACGAGATCCATCAGTTCGGTATGAAATTTTAGTTCGTACTGAACCTGAAATTTTGGTTCAGTATGGTTCAATATTGGTACAAATCGGGATGAATACATACGCACATAATTTAAACTTTAAAATGTCACAAAACCATTTATTTTTGAAAAATCGAAAGTATACTTAAGTAAAGAAAAATAAAATTTTTAAAAATGAAAAATTACACAAACTAAAGTAAACAAATGATAACAAAATCACATTTCAAATCCGTGTTAATATTTTTAAATTCAACTACAAAAAATTGAAACTCTTATAGCAGTACAATGTACACACAATAAAAGTGTATCCAAAATATACACCAAGCGTATAGACTAACAATTTGAACAATTTGATGGTTTACATCGACACAAAATGTCAGTGTTTTAAAACAAGTTTACACTAAATTTGAAGTAGCTAGATGCAAGTGAAATAATCAATGTTCTTGAACCGGAATCTGCTAAATTCCTGCCTTTTTCATCCCATTTTCATAAAGTTTCCATATTCTCATCGATACCTTCAGGTTGCTTTTGGTTTTTTCAAATGAAGTGATTGCGATTTGTTAGCATTTATGTGCGTGGATCACTTATTTCTGTGATTGCCTGTCAGAATTTTACTTTTTCGGGGTAGCTGCGGGGTATAGTATTATGGCAAGGAAGAAGATCAGAGAGTATGATTCTAAAAGGCTTCTGAAGGAGCATTTGAAACGTTTGTCTGGAATCGACCTCCAGATCTGCTCTGCTCAAGTACTCCTCTGTTTATGCTCCCTGATCTTATTGTCAATTGAGCTTAGGAATCGTTCTTCTCTTTTATGAATTTATGACTTGAGTTTATATCTTTATTGTGTTGGGTAGTTTCTTTGATGTTTGCTCCCTTAATCGAATCTGATGGTTCTCTATCTTTAACTTCTCTGATGTGTCTGTTTATTTGATTTTCAAAAAGTTGTGATTCAATCTCCAAATTTCATGATCTTAGTGATCTTCATCTGCTAGCATAGGGGCCTATTTAAATTGATGGAATTTATCAACAATATACATTTTACTGAGTTAGTCCTTTGACTTCAACATTTTACGACCATCGGGAGAGTCTCCCGCTTGAGCTTGAAAAGATTTTGTCCATGTTAAGCCATATGACCTTATTGGGAAGTGTCTCTGCTGCAGAATTTCTAATTACTTCAGAACTGGGGATAAAGTTATACAAAGATGAGTAATGATTGTAAAGACAGCTTGTCAAAATAGTTGGGCACTGTCTTAGAGGACTTTCTTTAAAGATCATTTGCATATTCAATCAAACTGCGGATTTTTACTTTAAGCAGCATGGTTTTGCTTAGATTTTTTTTTCTACGTGATAAAATGTGCAGGGAAAAAGTCAAGTCTTATGTACTCTTCTATGATTTGGTTCATAGTTTTTGTTTGATATGTATAATCCTGATGGCAAGGTAGTTAAAGTCGCAATTCGGATCGTAAGATCTGACGATTTCACGTATCAGGGCACCTGGAATGATATGAGTCACAGCAAAGATAATTTTTTTGAAGGAAATCGTAAGATCATTCAGTTGGGCACTTGGTTCGTATAATAGTCTGATCCAAGCTCGATTTGACCTTCGAAGATGTGAGACAGGTTGGATTAGGAATTGGGTCGTCGCTTATCATCGGCTGAATTTAAAAATTATGATTAATTGCCAGTTGTGACCTGTGACCCATCAAAAGATGAAAAGGTTGTCTCTTCGTGGGTCGGTTGAGAAGTGTATAGGCTTAAATCTAGTTTGAGTAACTATTTCTTTGTTCGGTAAAGTTAGATTTTCAGATTTTCCCATAATTCATTATGGAGATGGAGTAGTGGAGAGTATTGTATTGGGGACTATTCTGAAATTTGAAATTTCAATTAATCAATTACTGGACCTAGTATCCTTTGATTTCAACATTTTCTAATGTGTGTGTACATTATACTCCAAAAAAGATGATTATATTTCTACGTTTGAAAAAACTTAAACTAAATTCGATAAATAATCCTTTATAACATGAGGTTTTTCATATATATTCTTCAATTCTAAGATATTATCATATTATGTTTGTGATACTCTATATTTGGGAACTATTCCACTATAAGTCCTTTGTGGACTGAATGTAGAAAACATATTTGGTTCCAAAGGACTAGTCATGGAATAGTTCTCAATAATAGAGGACTACAAACATAATATCTTGAAATTGAAGACGATATATGGAAAACACCATGTTTTAAAGGATTATCTATAGAATTTACTCAGAAAATCATGTCATTTGTTGTGTTTCTTCCTTATATACCTAAATTTCAACCTCACAAGTTCATTTTATTAAAAACTATGCCTATTCATACTGTGTACATCTATTTTAGGACAGAGAATACATATTATGTATTATTCTAGCATCTTACGATTCCAGTTATGAGTCTGGATTTACGATCCTCCATCCCCTCTTTGATCCTAGCTAGGATCTCGATCTTAACAACCTTGCCTGATGTCTTTTCCTACTTTGGTTTTTCTAAAGAGAGCAACATTGCACTTGTTAAGGCGAAATCTTATTGGTTCATTTCAAATTCTTCGTTGATGTCTGACGATGGTAATCATTACTCTAAAATTAACCAATAAAAACCAAATATTCTATAAATTGCATTTAACATTTGCAAGATTGCACTAGTTAGAAAACCCCAATTGACATTAAGCTTAGATTTAATGATTCTGTCAAGACGCTCATTATTCAAACCATATCTTCTGTTAAATATGTAATTACTTATGAGGTTTCAAAAACTATTTCCTAGGTAACAGAAGCTACGGATTTTGCTGAGTTAACCAACAAAGAACCATGGATTTCATCCTCAAAATTGGTCATAAAACCAGATATGTTGTTTGGGAAGCGTGGAAAGAGCGGTTTGGTGGCTTTGAAATTGGATCTAGCGGAAGTTGCTGAATTTGTTAAAGAGCGTCTTGGTGTGGAGGTAAGTATAGCATAAACTTCATTTTGATAACCTTTCTTTTTTGTTACATGATAATAGTATATACATGGATGTAATATTGCCATCTTGCCCAGGTTGAGATAGGTAACTGCAAGGCACCTATAACGACCTTCATTATTGAACCATTTGTTCCCCACGATGACGAGTATTATCTTTCAGTACTCTCTGAAAGGCTAGGATGTACAATTAGCTTCTCAGAATGTGGAGGCATTGAAATTGAAGAGAATTGGGATAAGGTTAGATCTTATAAAAATGACATGGCACCCATAGTATCTTTAATAGTCGTACTGTCAATGGAACTAAAAGAGTAATAAATTTATAATTGACAATCGATGTTTTATCTTTGGGTAAATAATGGATTAAATCAAAATGGCACATTAAACTTCCGTTGTTTCTTACTCTCCATGAAGTTTTGGGTAGTAAGTGCAGCAATGCATCAAGGGTAACGGAAATAGTCTCTCTGTATGTACATGGGTAAGGTTGTGTACATCTTGACCCTAGAGCCTTAACGAAGTTGGGATTATACTGGGTCGTTGTTGTTGTACTCATAGTTTTTTATCTTATGAAGTTTTTTTTATTTATAAAAATGATGTTTCTTTATCATTCTGAATAAACTGATATGAATTTTAAGTTGATTTTTATCCCAAATGTTACAGGTCAAAACAATATTCCTTCCAACTGAAATGTCAATGACTTTGGAGGCGTGTGCACCACTGATTGCCACACTTCCTTTGGAGGTGGGACACGATTACTGTGCTCTGTTTTTAGATTTCTAGAACAAGTCAGCTGTAATTGTACTACTCAAAAATGCAAGTGTTTATCTGTATCTGTTGATGCTGGTTTGCTTTCTAAGTATCATTTTAGTTCTTGATATAATGAATGTCATATGCCTTCCACGCTCATAAATGGAATGAAGCTGTTACTTTTCTGAAATACATGATGCTTGCTATTGTCTGGTACCATTTTTCATCAATATTTGGTTATTACACATGCATGCATACATATATATGGATACAGGCAAAAAAAACATGTGTGTGTGTGTGTATTAATCTTACTCTTCACAAATAGTCTCTTCAGTATCCTAAAATATAAGCTCTTTTTTTTGTCAGGTGCGGGGAAAGATTGGCAATTTTATAATGGGTGTGTTTGCTGTATTTCAAGGTAGGCTCAGTTCTACTTCTTTATGAAAGAGTCTATGTGTGTGCATGTGTGTGTGTGGGGGGGGGGGCGTTGGGATTTGGGAGGAGTATGATATTGGCTTCGTTTTTATACAATGTTTATGATAGTATTATTGTTTTGTATACCTTTTTTTGGAACACTTAAAGTTTCCGCTTCATAGCATTTTTTAGTTGCTGAAGTTAAATGCTAAAGCTAATGCCGAACAGAGCCATCATCTATTATCACTCTTAAACATTATTTATAGCAAATTATCAACGGCGTTTAACCTATTATCACAAAATACGTATCTTTGGTTTTTTGCACAAAACTACTATCTCTTTTCTTTGTTCTTTCCATCAATTCATGCACTCTGACTATGTTTTCTTTTATTGAGCATTCCAATTTTAAATTTGTGATTTTCCTCCTGAACAGACCTGGACTTCAGTTTTCTTGAGATGAACCCATTTACGCTTCTTAATGGTGAACCATATCCGCTGGATATGAGAGGAGAATTAGATGACACAGCTTCCTTTAAAAACTTTAAGAAGTATGTATAAAATGCAAAATTTTCACAGAGCCAATTAGGGTTAAAAATAAGTGACTACTATCAGGCATTTTTAATGTCAATGCAATCTAACTTCTTTTTTTCTCTTCTCTAGGTGGGGTAATATTGAGTTCCCTCTACCTTTTGGGAGAGTTTTGAGTCCAGCAGAAAGGTTTATCCATTCATTAGATGAAAAAGTAAGTAAAAATGGGCAGTTTGTTTGAAATTGAAAATGTGAGTGCTCCAGCTTGCATACACGTTTGATTTCCTTGTTGCTTGGTATTCAATATGGCTCTTCTAGTAAAACTTGTTGCTTTTTCGGCATCTCCTTGTGTGAGCGTAACCTGAGTTATCGAGTGTGAGGCTTAATACTAATTCAATATTATGCAGACCAGCGCGTCATTGAAGTTTACTGTATTGAATCCCAAAGGACGGATCTGGACAATGGTTGCTGGTGGTGGAGCAAGTGTAATATTTGCTGATACAGTGAGTGTTCTTAATCATCCAACTTGTTAGCATGTGCAGTCATAAGGATGCAATGTTCCCAGTTCATATTTGCTTACTCGAATTTTCAAATTACTTTTTTGTCCCTCAATTAAATTAGGTTGGAGACTTGGGATATGCATCTGAGCTCGGTAATTATGCAGAATATAGTGGAGCTCCAAACGAAGAGGAGGTTTTACAATATGCTCGCGTTGTTCTTGATGTGAGAATCTAACCTTTGTTACACTATTTGAATACTCCCTCCATCTTTGTATGAACTTTACACTTGCTATATTTGGATGTCAAAAAATCAGCTTTTTATTTCTCTATTTTCCATTTTAGAAAATAAATATGTGGACATCTTTAATTCTCTCTTCCAAATTAATATCAACCACACATGGTGGCATAAGTGGTAGCTTTCGCAAATGAGAGGTCACATGTTTGAACCCTAGAGCATTATTGTTTTTTTGTGCTTCAAAGTACGTTGGGGAAGTATGTATGAATTATGATTAGATTCTACATTGTAAATAGAGTTAATAGTACTAAAAACAATCAACCACCTGCATTTCACTTTTCACCAAACACCTTTCACTTTTCAAAGCTTTTCTTAAATTCCGTGAAGTCAAACCGTAAGGCCCCATTTGGTACACAGAATTCAAATTATGGAATTGGAATTGAGGTCTTCAATTCCAATTTTGGTGTTTGGTAGCACAAAAATTATGTGGATTTGGAATTGGTAATGCAAAAAATGAATTGGAATTGATGAATTCAGTTCTATGGAATTGAATCCCATGGAATTTTAATTCGAATTCAATTCTAATTCCATCAATTCCGTATACCAAACGGACCCTAAGGTTCTTTTAAAGACGGAGGGGTCGATGGTCTTTCCAAAAAGCCTCTTATCTTTCTAGATAGGGGTACGCTCCACCCTCCCCAAACTCTACTTGTGGGGTCTTATTGGGCTGTTGTTTTAGGGAACATTTGTCCATGACTACTGTTGAGTAATTTATTTATTTTTTTAAAACAATAGTGTGCCACAGCTGATCCAGATGGCCGTAAGAGAGCTCTCATTATTGGGGGTGGCATTGCTAATTTTACTGATGTTGCTTCTACCTTCAATGGAATCATCCGAGCTCTAAGGGAGAAGGTTGGTTGTGTAGAATTCTGTCCCATGTCAAATTCTATGGTTTAGTAAGACATCTTTTTTTTCAAACTAACAGGAGTCCAAGTTAAAAGCTGCTCGAATGCACATTTTTGTTCGAAGAGGTGGCCCTAATTACCAAACAGGTTTGGCAAAAATGCGTGCATTGGGAGAGGAGTTGGGAGTTCCCCTAGAGGTGCGTCACACTTCTTTTTTGTGGGGAAAAAAAATCCGCGCAATATATCTAGTCGACACTATTATGAAACATTAGTGAGATCATTATTGTATTCGACAGAAGAAGTATCAGTTTGCTATTCGTGATTTCAGGTTTATGGGCCCGAGGCTACAATGACCGGCATTTGCAAACTGGCAATTGATAGCGTTATGTCTGAACTCTGAAGCATAGATATGGAAGTGTGTTATCCATGTTGGTATTTCAACAGCTCTATGTCAGCTTATCTTTCCATACCAAAATTGAAAAAGGAGGTTTCCCAATCTGTGAATAAAGTTTGGGATGCAATGCAAAAATTGACTCTGGAATCTCGAAATCACTCAGAAAGTTCGTTGTCCATAAAATTCAATTCCTACATTTCCTACAATTATGCACACAGCTCTTTCATTTACGAATTGTATTTTAAAAAACAAGTTCACAATTGTTGTTTTGACATTGGTGCCTAGTGTCATATTATGACACTAAAGACCTACAATGCTCATTGGGCCTGAAAGTGGTCAAGTGGTTCTTACCCCTTAGCACCCCCCNACCCTCTTCATTTCTTAACTGGTAGCAATAAAAAGTGTTGAGAATCGGTGAAACAGAGAGGATTGAGGGTGGGGAAGAACCACTTTCGGGCATAACGGAACACCTTAAGTGTTTCAAATGGACCCATTTTATAATATGACATTCGTACTTGATGTCAAAAGTATTAGACCGTTTCAAACATATTTTAACTAATACAAAGTATTTTATTAATATTTTGCAACACAAATTGTATTTTAAATTACTGTATAACTTTTTACTTGAAACTCAATTTTGTTGAAATAATATATCAATGCAAATCACTTAAAATGCGTTTTGTATTAGCCCAATATTGAATATTATTAATTACGTTTAAGGACCATTTTCAAAATAAAAATTTTTGATATGACGATAAGTATAGTAATACTTACAATAAGGAAATTAAATGATATGATGATTCTCTTTCCTATTATCCTCCCGCAAGGTGATCAACGCTAACAAGGAGCAACTTAGATCATAAGTACTTAAATGTGATTTTGTCAGAAGTGATTTTGTCAGCAATCATTCCATCAATATATGAGTCATATTTTTTGGTCATATTTTAGGTCATATTTTTGGTATCTTTGCAGAGGATGTGTAGATCACACCAAAGGTTATAAATATGAGCGGTTGATACCAAGTTGTATCGTGCCGCTAGCGCATCCCATAGAACAACTGATGTAGTGAAGCCCCAAGCATGTTTGTGATTTGTAGGGCTAAGGACATCGAGAAGGCACACACGTATTGGGGTGTCAATCATAGACCATGAGGTGTATGCAGGATTAGGAATTGTATTCCCATCCTTGGAGATCGTTTCTGATGGTACTTTTTTAATACCATCAATCCACCCAAGAAGTAGATTAGCGTCAAGGGATGTCTGAACATTGAGAGGCCACGCACGATAGTTTGCATCTATGAGTTTTTTAGGGATAAGATTGGGAAGATTACAAAGTAATAATTTTAGTCTCGAAGGAAGAGAAGCCAACAAATCGACCATCGCCAAAGGGAAAAACGACAACAATAGGCTGATTTTTTTTGGTTTTGGAATCTGAGATGATCATCGATCTTAGCCGTGGCTGCTTTGGCTGTGACATAGGTGGCGACGGGTAAGGGCTAGAAAGAAACTTTTGCTCCGATATCATAATACAATTTGATAAAATATAGATCTCAATGAATAATGAACTCTCAAAGAGAGAGAGAGAGAGAGAGAGAGTGTGTGTGTGTGTGTATAATATGAGAATTTTTAAAAACCTAAGAATCTAAAATATGGTAACACTTGAAATAAGAAAACTAAATAATACTCTGTATGAGGATTCTCCTTCCTATTATTATTATTATTAAAATTAGATCAAATCTTTTCAGACCTGATCTAATCGAATTAGATCAAATCTCATCAGATCAAATTAGATGCAATGAGATCAGATCAGACCGGATTAGACTTTATCGAAACAGATCAGGATCTAACCAGATGAAATTAAAATCAATCAAATAAGAAGTTCTTAGATTAAGTTAGATAAATCTATAAAAAAAATGTTGGTTGATGCTAATATTTTTTCAAATATTACATAATAATAATTATTATATGATTTATTTAATGTTGCATATATTTACTATTTACTAATAGGTAAAATATTACATGCACCTAAGATTCATGATAAACCTTCATGTATGCTAAGTAAGCATTTTCAAGTGCTTAAATAAACATTTTTAAAATAAAAATATATGTGACAAGGTTCATGTGGACCTTAGGTCCACCATAGGACCTCTCTTACTATTAATAACTATAATAATGTTATAGACTATTAACTAATAATAACGATGTTACATATGAATATATACCGCCTTCGTCTCAAATTAAATTGTGTGTTTACTATTTGCAGGGTTAAATTTTATTTACTTATTTTCTCTTTTTTTGATAGTCATTTGATAAAATAAAATAGTAATGTCACCACTAATTTTGAAGATCTTTTGGTGTAGTATTTTAAAATATAATTTTTAATATTTAATTTTACACAATTTTTCATATAAAATGGTTTAAAAATAATTTCAGCCAAACATCATAAATCGAAGTAGGCAATATAAATTAGGATGAAGGAAGTAATACTTATTATTATTATTATTATTATTATTATTATTATTATTATTACTATTTATTATTACCATTATTATATTATTATTTCTATTGCTTTTTTATTTAAATAACCATACTACTGTATCTGTTACTAAATTATAATCTTATTTAAAAAACATGTAAGAATTTCATCTCTTTCAAAACAATTTAATTTATAAAAATCTATATAAATAAAGAGTCCAATTTACATATATAAATCTAATTCAAAAGTTCATTTTTAAAAATAATTAATGAAAATAAATATGCAAAAAAATTATCGAAGACATGTATTAGTATACATGATGATGTTTTAAGGGTGGAAGAAATAATAATTTTAACAATTATACTCTCTATGTTCTATAAAAATTTTACTCTCTCTGTCCCAAAAAGAATCGCTTGTTGTTTACGAGATTTGACAGAAGTTAATTTCAGTTCAGTTTATTTGAAAATTGATAAGGAATTAAAAAATAAAATTTCTAAATTTATGAACTACACCAAAAGTTCTACAAATAAGATGTGACAAAAATATACTCCCTCCGTCCGGAAATAATCATCCCGTTTCTCCTTTTTCCCCTACCAGAAATAATCTTTTCATTTCTAATTTTACCCACAATCCTTCCAAAAATACCCTTATCATTTAATTTTCATTTACTCCCTCCAACCATCCCATTTCCCCACCCACCTGCACGCATTACTCTCTCTCTCTAACTCCCCACCTCCCACCCAATTACACTCATTCACTCATCTCTGAATCTTATCTTCTTCCTCTCATCGAAAATCATTCCTCTCTCTCTAGATCTACATCTCTTTCATCCGCATGACCTCTTCATCTACCTCATCGGAGGAATCGCATGAATTATTTTACGAATCTTATATTTCCGAAACGGAATTTGAAGATGGTGGAGGTGAAGATTTTGAGGTGATTGCCGAGGATATTATCTCTGACGACAAGGAGGAGAACGAGGTCATCGTCATCGACAGCGACGATGATGGTGCCGATGTTGCCCCGGTCAGAGAGAAGGAGGTAATCGACCTTACCTCGGATGAAGATGATGTTTTTGATCATGGTAGCGATGAGGTTGAGTTCCTGGGAGACAGTGATACTGATGATTCCGGTGATACTTCTTCGGTGATCTGCTCACACATGCACCTCCACATAGATATGCTTAACATCTTACTACCTACTCCAGATCCAAACTTTTGGGCTTCAACGTACAAGTAGGGGAGTGACTTTCACCTCCTTTCACTTTACATATTTCTTGGCTTGAGTATCAATTTAATTCCTGCCAGTGTGAACTTTGTTGATACATTGCTGTGATAATTGAGATTTCTAATTTGCTCTGTATGTTACTGTTATGGGAATGCTGCTTGTATGAATTGTGTTGGATCAGATTTTTATGAAGACTACAATTTATTTTGCATAGTCTGAGAATAATGAAGACACTGTGATGAACATTTAACCTTAAGGGGATGTTTCTGAGTGTATATTGCTGGCATTGGGTTATGTGAATGTGGCCAAATTCTGTGAAGACTGCAATGTCTTTTGCACTGTCTGAGAAAAAAAACCTACTATGATGAGCATTAAACCCTTAAGGGATGTTTCTGAGTGGTTAAATTCTTACATCAGCAATGATGAAGTGGGCTTAGTTTTGAGAAATATATGCTGGCTGTTGTATTTCATTGAACATCGGAACATTTAGAGCAGTTAGTGTGTTGTTGCCTTAATGTGAGTACATACATATGGCAGGACATTACATGGTGCAAAACCCAAAATTCAAAAATCAAAAGCCAACAAACTACCACTAACAACAGTCAAAAGCCAAAAAACTGAATGTGGTAACCATTTCAAAAACCCCACATTCACTGCCACTGCACTTAAACAAACTTGGAATCTGTCCAGTTCTGAAGATAGGTGCTTCTCTCCCTCTTCAGTATTGAACTGAACCATTTCTTCATGTGGTTTTTCATTTTTTTGACCCAACAGTCTACTTGTCTTCTCAATTAAATCTGGATCAATGTTCAAGCAAGTAGGTAGTGTCCCTGCCCTGGCCATTCTGTCCTTACCCATATGTGGCAATCTATAGTTATTGCCTCCTTCATGCTCCATTACTTTAGTCAACACTTGATGGTAAGTCAATCATACCTTATTTAGAGTTTCTGGAGTTAGAGCATTGTAGGCTCCCTCCATAGCCTCTAATAACTGTCCCACACTGGTTGGAGCACACTTCTCTTTTAAAGACTGGATGGCTCTGAAAAAACCAAGGTCCAGTACATTTAAATCTGGGGAGTTGGGGGGTTGGTTACCAAGACTGATGTGAAAACCATTACTGTTACCTGCAGCAACAAAGTCCGAGTCTAGTCGTTGAATAAGTGGCCTTGCATGTCTTTTGTAACTTGTTTGGTAACACTGGTGATTAGTTTCACCTCCACAACTCCTTTATCCCTGTTTTTACTCTTTTTTTTTGCTTTCACTAATTCACTGAAATGGAATATGCCAACTTTGCCATCCCATAATACTTCTCCATTATTAGTAATTAGTGGTCTTCCAACGACACACATGAACATGACTTTTGTTATGAACCGCTTCGATTTACATGTTCTGTATGGGTCTACTTCATCGGGAAGTAGGTAAAACCTTTGTGAAGTTTTGGACATAAAGAACCACTTCTCATCGATGTGCAAGACGTTGTGAAAACTGTTAAACCTAGGTTGAAGGGGCATACTGTGTGGTTCAACTTGATTCAAACAGAACCTCAACCTTGACAGTTTGTTATCATCTGTTAGGTAAGGTTTGATAGCATTAGAATGGCTTCTAAGCATACCTTTTTTTATCCACTCATGAACACTGGACTTCGGCTTACCAATAGCAGCTGCTAAACTCCTTATCGTAGTCCTGTTCCGCAGGGGAGTGTCTGCAATTGCTTGTACATCCATCACCACCCTTTTCCTGCGACTGTTTCCTATCATCCTGCTACTCACATTGATGGCAACCCCCCGCTCTAGTTGTTTCTTTGCAATGGCCCATATTGTACTCACTGTTTTTCTAGAAACATTAAACTGTGCAGCCAGGTGGTTGATCTGTCCTCTCTGAGCTGAGTATGAACCGTCTGATTTTTGCTTTGAATGTCTTAGTAGTGCGTCACTGATAAGCTGCCGTGTCGTGTTATCCAATTTCTTCGTATTTATATGAGCATTATTCATTGTGTGCAGGGCTCCAGGAAATGTGGACAAGAAAAGAAAAAAGAAGAAAGAAAGGAAAATGAAGAAGAGGAAAGGTGAATGAAGGGCATGCCCTGGGAGCTTTAAATGCTGCTTAATTTCAATTTGATTGTCCTTGTTCTCAATTTTTTGGGCGGGTAGCTAAAAAGGAGGAGGAAAATCTAAAATTTTTATGGAATGATTACTTTGTAAAAGTTGATTTGATGTATTGCAACCCATATCCCCTCCCCCATAGTGTAAACAGTGTATCTAATTATTGAATCCTTCCATTCGGCCAACGTTTTCTTTTCTTTTGCAGTTTTTTTAGTAAGGGCAATTTAGCCATTTCACCTCATAAGTCAACCATTCAAAAAAATGAGAAAAAGTCCAAATGAGAAGATTTTTCGCGGACGGACGGAGTATTATTTTCTCAAGTGGATCGTGAAAATGAGTCAGGAACTTGATAAAAGTTTGAGTTTGTAAATACTTCCTCTGTCCTGATTTAAATCGTCTGTATCAACTTATGATGTTTGACTCAAGTTATTTTCAAATCATTTTATATGAAAAATGATGTATAATCAAAAAAAATTTACATATATAAAAACTACATTAAAAAATCTACAAAAGTAGTAGTGACATGATTATATTATTTTATCAAATTACTAACGAAAATAGAAAAAGAAGGTGAATGAAATTTAACTCTATGAATAGTTAATAGGCAATTTAATTTAGGACCGAAAGAGTAGTAAATAGACAACTTAAATTGAGACAGAGGAAGTAATAATTATTGTACAAGTTATAAAGTGCCTCACAAATATGATCTAGGGAAAAGAAATCACTATTACTTTTATTTCAAAATAAATAATTAAACCGTTTCAGTATGAAAAAGAAAAAAATCACTCAAATAAATGTTTAAGAAAACTATTTTTGGATATAAAACAAAATTCATCTATACCTATGTTTGAGAGATCATATGTTATAGTACAAAATTGTGTATGCAGTATTATTATATATTCACCATGGGTAGTTTACAAGTTACAGTGTTCATTTCACACATTTTTTTCTCTTCACACTTTAATATGCACATCATAATAGTGGTGTACTTAACAATACTAATTTTATTACAAAAAATTATTACTTTGTTGCTAGACAAGAAAAAAAATTACATCACATCATTAATTAAGACTAAAGTAGGAGTAATTCATTAAAAATATATCAAAATAAGACTTTCATGTTTTATTCCCAAAATAAGAGCTAAAATACATTTACATTAACAAACATGGTCATGTGCATTACCAAAAAATATAGTAATGTGTACATGTACAGTGCCACATTACAACCACATTTCTACAATGAAGTCTTATTTCGAGAATATAAATATGGAACTCCTATTTTGATACTTTTTTTCTATGTTTTAGTCCTATTTAGAGTGATTTCTAAATTTTAAATGTAGTCTAGAGCTTAAGGCAAATGGAGTCTAGACCTAAGGTCCACCATGGACCTACATATGACTCAAATAAGCAATTTTTTACTACTTAGATGAGCATTTTAAAAATAATAAAAAACAAATAAAAAAAGAATTATTATGTGAGAAGGTCCACAAAAATTATAAGTCTAAACACTAAAGTTACGGGATTTGTGCTTACAAGCTTAAACTATAGGGTGCTTGCCATTGATTCTCATAAATGTTAAGCACTTGAATGTAGTGAATTTTATAACATCCAATCCCATAATCGACAAGGGGAAGCAAGATGGTGATTGTCAAGACCAAAATCATTTTTAAAGAGATTTGCTCCATTTACCAGGATGCCCATTTGTTATTTTTAAATTTTTCAAATTAAATTCCATAAAGTCTTCAATAGCAAAGAGTTTTCCACATATAGTCCTCTATTTCAAAATAGTATGTTCATGGTTTCCTATATTTGAAAACTGTTACGAAACATTTGGGAAATTTTCCTCCAAAATAAACTTACTCCGTATAATGGAATAATTTTCAAATTTAGAAAATCACAAATATAATTTTTTTGAAATAGAAGATTATATGTGAATAATCTTCCGTTATAAAGGACTATTTATAGACTTCACTCAGGTTTTAATGAAAGCAAGATAGGGGCCACACCAATATATGTCGAAACCTCCAAAGTAACGACGTGCAAAAACCATCCAAATTTTGCTTCAGCAGAACGTAATTAAGGAGCTTGATTCATAGTGCAATGCCGAAACCAGAAATGAACACACTGCCAAACATTTTTCGGGGTTCATTCATTCATATTTAGCCAATGTGGGACAACTCCAACACATGCTCTGTTTTATATTTTACCATTTCCGAGTTCTGTTTTATATTTTACACCAACACTCCTTTTCCTGAAATCTGTGAAATCACCAGAATTGAACAGATTGTATGTTTGTTTGTGTGTGTGTGTGTGTGACACTAACAGAACCATCCATCCAAATGTATAAAAATCAAACCAGATGTACAACTCTACCTCTTAGGGTGGTGGCTCTTTCTGTTTAGCATGGGAAAGAGGGACGGCCACGTGCTGCTTTTCATATTCTTCTTTCAGTTCTTCCAAACGCTTGGAGACCTGGACAACAATGGAAGGTTGGGAAAGGTTATTAAGGAAGCAATGCCGTTACCAGCAGTCAACTGCAGGAATTCCAAAAAAAACACTTGAGTAATCTGTTGACAGTGATTTCTCTCTATTTTCTTTTCGAAGCTAATGATTTAATTAGAATGTCAAGTTAGAAAAATAAATCCTGCAAAAGTCAAAAGAGGAACTGTTTTGGTGAGCAGAGGGAGTAATTTGTAGCAGATGCAGATCACTTTTTCTCGCTTTTGATCTCTCACCTGTGGTGAAAGTTCTATCCAAGGTGTTCAATTATCAATCTTTTCACATCTAAGGCGCAGAAAATATAGTCTTCGAGCAGAAAACATGGTGTAGTGCTGTAGTTAGAGAAGAAGCGAGGACATTTATTCTATCTTATGACTAAAACTATGATAAGATGTGCAATAGTCGAGCAATAAATTTGGAAAAGTTAATTGCCGACAGTGACATATATTATGAGGCCAAGGTTAACAATTTCTAGGGGCTAACAATTTTACATACATACATACAACACCCACACATGTAATAATTTTGCAGAAATTTGAGAATGTATTATATATGGCTCAAAGATGCATCTGTAACAAGTGGTAGCTTGCATGTTCGAGACACTATTAGCTTGTTTGATTATGTTTTCAATGATAACTTTGTAATATTAGCTATTAAGCTATACTTATAGCATGATCAAGGCTATACTAGGATTTAAGACTCATAAAGTTTCTAAGAATAACTCTTAACTATTTTTTTAAAAAAGATCTTTGGACACCATTAATAATCCAACATTTTAGGGTTTGGACCATATTAATCCCACTTTTCTGCCTTGTGGCGTAACATCCAAACATTCCTAATTATGAAGTTGTATTAATTATATAGACAAAATGCCTCATTGGGGGGGGGGGGGGGGTTAAAACCTTGAATGAATAAGCCATTGGCAACAGGGTATCTGGGTTCATTGCATCCTCGGGGAAGTTTCGTAGTGCATGTATGAGTTTCTCAAAAGGCAATTTCACCTATAAAAAAATATGAGACCCGCATAAAGAACTATGGAGTTAAAATACAAAGACAAATTAATAAAATCTGAAACAATTAAACCTCACCAGGTCATCATGGCAATATTTCAATAGTGCCAACCCGGTCATGAACACAATGTGAACACCCTGATAAATGTGATCTTAGTAAGAACTATAGTAGGTTCAAACTAAGGATAGGTAAATGAAGAAGATGATAATAAATCTGCTAACCTCATAGAGATTATGTAGGGTTTAAGATTCTCGGTTCACTTTACCCTTTCTCATACTCTTTTGTCAATACTTGGTGACTGAACGTATGTACGATCCTAAATAGTAAAGTACCCTTTTTACGAGGGGGTTGAAGCCGTATTTTAGGAAGTGATTTACTAGTTTAACCTTCTCTATAACAACATGTTCTCCGTCAGGTTGGATCAGGTTTGAGTGAACAAACTCACTACCATTCAAGTGAATGAAAACACTCCATAGTCAAAGCTATATAAAGTAGTCACAACTGCCAAACATTGATATATAAACGTAATATACTACTATCTTTGTCCCGACACAAAAGTAACACTTTCCTTTTGGATTTTCCCAAATAAACTTCAAACCTTATTACTTTCCTATTAAGGAAAACAAAAATATGGCTTGCAACATCTCTCTCTTCTAAACAAAACTCAACCTCACACTTTTCATTTTTTAACACTTCTCTAAATCTTCGCGAAGCCAAATTCTTACTCCCTGCATCCCAAAAAAAACTTTACATTGCGATTTACTGTGTTTGATTGAAGTTATTTTCAATTCAATTTATTTCAAAATTTGTGTAGAAATAGAAAAATCTATATATTTAAAAACTACAACAAAAGATCTATAAAACAAGAGGTGAACTATTATTTTATTTGTCAAATAGTCAATGAAAACATGTAAAGAAAGAGGATATAGTTTGAATCTGTGAATACTAAACATATAGATCTTTTCGGGACAGACGGAGTACTTTTTTAGACGAAAGGAGTCTACAACAACAACAAACCCTAGAATATTAAACAAGTCCCAATTGTTAGTTCCAAGTGTTGGCTAATCTTTTGGCAAAATAGAAACTCATATTTATTATGAGTTTTACTAGGTAGAAACCTTTTTTTATTAGGACAGGTTTTTATTTAGACTCCTAGAGTTGCTGTTTTCGAAGATGCTGCAACATCCGGTGAAACACCCTATGACGGAGCCTGCCCTGTACGAAATTGGAGTTTGCAATATGCAAAATTAGAGTCAGAGACCAATTGGGACTGCAACTACATACCTGGATTTATTTATAACAAATCCAGCTGGTGTTTAGAAGCATTTATCCTACTTGTGGATCAAGATTAAAGTTGTATTCAAGACAACTTCTACATACCAATAACTACTAGGATTGGGTTTGAAGAGGTCTATTTAAATTTTAAACACAATTTCTTGACGCGATTGTGAGAGAAGAACGCAGAAAATATGTTGATCTAAAGATCATTCTCATCACGTCCCGGAGCGTCTGTTGCGTGAAAAAGTCATGACCAACATAAAGAGAGTCCTTCAATGCGCAATGATTGTGATGTCCAAAAGTCAAACATGAGCTGAACGAGTAGGCCGCCAACACATTTGTTGACGAGATCTCGATGGAGATGTCATAGCCAAAGCAGATCCATACATGGTAGGGGTTAGAAATCCTAGATCAGAGGTTTTGTCATAACAATTCAAAGAAGTGTCTCATCATGTAATCATGTTATTATGTACCGATGTAACTTGAATCTAGTGATTTAGTTGAGGGTTATTACACGGACATGGGTTCTCCGAACTGCTTTAACATATCGGATGTCATTCTTTACGCTTTTTATATTAACATAATTCAGCCAGTAGGTGCTATAACACTGTCTGAGTCATGCTTCTGTGTGTGTATGAATTTTCAAAATCTAAATGTGATTTCAGATCAGCTCAAATCTAATCAGATCCAAATATTTCACCAACTCCATTGGGGTCAAGATGTGCACCACCTTACCCTATAAAAAATAGAGAAAATGTTTCCATTAGACCCTTGACATCATAGAAAGCATGAAGCAAGGAAAGTCTAATGTGCCATTTTGATTTGCTCTATCATTTACTAAGCAAATGCATTGTCAAAAATGACTCTTTTAGCTCTCTAGGGAAAGGATGCAAAAGCAAGCAAAGTAGCAAACAATTAGAAGAAAAAACTGTCTTCTGAGAGATTGTTACTATGATTGTTGGATTTGTTGCCTATGCTTTGAGTGACAGCCCAAACATAGAAATTAGAGAGAGCATAAATGATTGTGCTATAAGTGACAACATAATTCCAGGAAGAACACAAGAAAGAAGAAGACACCCAACATATTCATTCACTATCCATATACAAAGTACAATGTACACTTACATGTATAATTAAAGTTGAGGAAATAACTAGACCCTTAGATTATAACTCCCTATTAGATAACTACTAACTAGATGGTGGCCAGCACAGCACCAATAATATCACGAGTGTACCATTTTTCTTCCCATCAAAACCATCTTATCCTCAAGGTGGAAATACACTCTCCACGACTCCGCCACAATAGCTTTTGGCCAGATTTTTAAGGAAACAGATGATACAAGATTTACCTTCTAAAAGGTAGATAACCTTTTAAAAAGTTGTGCAAAAGGGTCAACGTGTCAATCATAATAAAAGGGTAAACTCGAAACGGAAAAAAACAATGGTGGAGTTTAATAAAGGGACATAATAGTAGGACACCAAAAAAGTGGGACTTATATAATGGGGTAGAGGGAATATTATGGAATCTGCCTTTGGCCAAAATCCTCAAGTTGTCCCTCTGATCTGTTGAATAATAAAGTACTCGTTTATTGATATGACTTTTAAAATACAGCTTTCATATTTTTAGAGACCAAGTCTAATGCACCCTTTGGTTTCTAAACCCTAGGGGTTTTATTGCAAAACATTACCACTATCCCCGAGGCTGGAGCATCATATGGCCCAAGCTTGCTACAATACATTAATGGCATGTTTACTAAGGGTCACTAGCCTGAAATGGTGACTGAATTTCTAACAACAATTCCGTAAGGTCCTAGAGAATGTAGAAGTATGCGGACCTTACACCTACCTTCAAAAGGTAGAGAGGTTGTTTCCGAAAACCCCTCGGCTCAAGAACAATCTACTATAAAAGGAAAAAAGTAAAGGTAAAACAACTACGAAAAAAAGGATTAGTAAAAAACTAAAAACTAACATATAAATAAAGAAGTCCCTACAAGTAATACATCACAAGTCTAATCTATGGCCTCCAAACTCTCCTAGGATGTGTGAGGGGTAGCTGCACAAATAACATGTCATAACTAATCACCTCACCCCAACTCTTATTCAGCCTACCTCTAGTCTCTACCTTTCCTCAGATCTCTGCGCTACCCCTCACACATCCTCATATGGGCATCTGCACGTGCCCAAACACCTTAACCTCGATTCATGTAATTTATCCTCCACAAAAGTCAGTTCCGAGTCCCACCTTGTTCTGAAACACCCTCGGTCCCTAAAATTTTTGAATTCTACAGATCCATTCCAAGCAAACAAGTCAATAACTGCTTATTCAGCTTATAAGCATTATAAGCAGATAATAGGATCTACGGCTACCGAACATCTCAAAAACCTAAACTTTTGAAACTTAAACTTCTCTTCAACCAAAGTTTTGGAAACTTAAATGCTGGAAATCAATTAAATATTGAATGGTGCACATTCAAGCATCCTCTAAACTCTAACTGATCTGCATCATTATTTCAATCCACGCAAGGTTCAAAATATAGGTACGTCAAAATTTATGGAAAAATCCAAGAAACATTTCAAAACTTCACCAGTAAGGTCATTGGAGGGAGATAAATGAATCTAGAAAATTTCCCCTGAAAACATTCTCAGGAGGCGCGTGGAAGCTCTGCCTGAGATGGGTGGTGTTGGTTTATGTAGTTCGATGTTAAAAAAGGAAAAGGCGAAGAACAACACTATGGGTATTGTTTATCACTTTATCGCATAAAACTTTAACATAAACAAATGATTCACGTCTAGGGCTACTAGCTTTGGTGCCATGTTAAACAATCAACTACTATATTTAATTACGGAGTAATACAAATAAATTCTATATTCCAACTTCATTCTGCATAAATACTTTTATGAAAATTATGGACCCTAATGGTTTGGTACACAAAAAATAAAGGATGAAGGGAATTAAAACTCTATGATAAAAGAATAGGTGAAGAATAAAGAAGTTCAAATTCTACGGTTGGGTTGAAATGGAAGAAGGAAGAATATGAATGGAAAAAAGCAATACCTAACTGGAGGGTGGGAAGATTCCTTGTGCTCTGGGATTTTGGAAGAAATCTTGCTATATACCAAACTATGGAACACATGAAAATATTTGAGATGAATATACCATAAAAATGAAAAGATGCGTCATGTACCAAACGAGCCATAAACATAATAGACAAGACCCAAAGGTTTCAAACCGCTATGGTTTTCTATTGTTATTTTGTTATACTTTAACATGATCCTTTGTGAATCTATTTCCTCATGTTGACCATCACTTGTGTTCATTGCTCAAGTTAGATGTGGGTAGAAAAGGCTTGTCCAATTTCAAGCTTAAGTAAGATTACCGCTTCACCTCTACTGAAGCTTCCAAAGACTTAAACTGATCACTCATTCACCATCTCTACAACTTACTTCTTGCAATCTTGCAATGATATATTATTTGGCTTATTTTTTGGCCAAAAAAATGTGTCCGATTAAGTGGCACTCTCAATGAAAGTATGTTGTATGCTTGTAACCATATACTTCTGTTCAACCGAACTCCATAGAGATAAGCGAAGGAATGAATGTAGTCTGAATGACAATTGAACTCTAGGAAGATGAAGAACAAAAGAAAGAAGAAAGTTTTTTTCCACTCTACAGTCTACAGTACTTGTGTAGAAGGAATATTAGAACCAACTTACGAAACATGCTTCGGAACTTAGGATGCCTTCTCTCAATATTTCTACAGAAAATGATAGAGAGAAATTATGTGATTGTGGTTGATTCGAAAGTGAGAGAAACAATATAGACCATACAAATGCTTTCTTAAAAAGAAATGAAAAGTAAATTTAGGGATAAACCAAAATGAAAAGTGGGAAGAAAATTAAGGATATGGACTATTATAGAGCAATTGTTGTCTACAGAGACAAAATGATACACTTGTTGACTAATTAAATAATCATATGCTCCTTCTGTCACATAATAAGGTTTTTGGTTCGACAGGCATGTTTATTAAGAAAGTGAAATTGTGTGGTTGAAATTTACCTAAAGATGAATGAGATCAAATAAAAGGAAACATGAACCATGTTTTGGAACGGACAACTTTCTTTCATTAGGGCCTTTTAGTATTTTTTTCCTTAAAAGAAAAAAGAACCTCTTTTTTGGGACGGAGGGAGTATGAAATAAGAAAACACCGAAAGGGCCTAAGAAAACCCAATTAATCCCAGGAAATGAGGGCGGCATTGTTTTTCTTCCAAATGCAATGAAATAACCCTTGTTGGTGTTGGTTTCAGAAAATCTATGACAAAAAGCCTTACCAAATACATTCCTTCCATTGGAGAGTGCACTGCTCCTTTCAACAAGGCAACCAGTAACCAAAACGCATCCTCTTCACTCATGTAAAGAAGCAGGAGGCCAGCCACAAATCCCATGCCCTGCAATAAGGCGGGATTCCGAATATGAAATATCATACAGTTTCAAAGAAAAAGAAGTCAAGAACAACATTCTTTCAATCAATAGAATGTGCACCTGCACATATCCAACATCTCTGTCATATACAGAGTATGCTTTAAGAACATTGTAAAGAGACCTCTGGCCCGGTCCATGCCTCTGTTGGAAGAATACATGTGAAGGAAAGGTGCGAGAAATATCTCGAATAATATCAAGTTCGGAAGCCGAAGTCTCATATATGACTAGTTGCTGCACAACACAACACTTATAAGTTATAATGAGTTCAATATCCATGGGTTTACATTCATAATGAACATTTTACGTGCATTATTTTACAAATATTAATTGGGCTTAGAAAACATAGATTTTTATAAATATTTCCTCCCAAACCTATTTACGTGTATTGTTTTAATTTGAGGTCAAACTTATTTTTATGGGAGTATTTTATACTTTAAAAACATCAGTTAAAATTTAACAATTAATCAATACTTGATATAGGATCTAGACAAAATTTCATTTTTTAAGAATACATGATGAAATGACGTATTTAGCACAAAGTCACAAACGCCTTCGAAAAGAAATAAAACTGCTAGCGTATTACATGACACCTCACAACACAGTGCAATATTAGTGATAGCACATTTCATCTGCATGTGATAAGTTGTCAGTTAGAATTCTGGGAAAGTTAAGCACCACTCTTATACTTAATCCTCTCCCACACAAACATAAAAGCAGAAAAAGAATACATTAGTTGGCACCTAATCACCATCTACTGCCGCCTTGGATGAACTCATGTACCCTGTCACCCAGGCCAACTTCTAAAACACGACTCAAAATTTTCAAGAGGTCAAACTCTCTCCACCTGTACTCTACTACTGGTAGGATCAAAATTCAGCAGTGAAGCAAAATTATCACAAAAAAGTGGGTTAACATCAACTGGTAATGTCTACCTCATATACTCCTGGGTTCATGAGCAAAAGATCCCGACTTCCAGAAATTAGCTGCCAAACAAGGCCCCTCAGACAATCAGGAATTCCTTTCCGTATTCGCCGTTTAACTACATGAGGTTTTCTCCGAACATAGTGCTTCCAATCACTTCCTCCAACACCAACCATTTTCCTCCATTTTCTTATCCTTCTTTCATCCCTAAGAATTTGTGGTAAAATAATAAATATTTTTTTTGAAAAACCAATTACTTTCTGGTTATCAAAACCCTACTCTATACACAGGAAAAGGACTATTTAGGACTGATGGAGTATATAAGAACCATGCCAAGTAAATGCGCAAGCTAAATAGGAAACCCTATGTAGTCCTAGCCCACTGTTTGGACCATCTTTACTACTATATAAATATGTGTTTTGTACTCCTTCAATATCATCATAAGTAATACAGCCCCTATTGTTATCTTTGTGTACTACTAGTTTCTTTTATATTTTCCAACTATCCAGGGGTGATGCTTACTAAAATATCTCAATATTCAACAAATTATTTGTTTAAAAGTAACAAAACATCACTATATGTCAATATTCATACAACAATTCCAGTAGAATCCTACAAAAAGTAGGGTCTATGAAGGGTGCGTGTACACAAACCTTACCCCTACCCAAAAGTAGAGAGACGGTTTCCAAACATTGCACTATTTATATTAAAAAAGAAAACCTTTGATAGTGCACAAGAGAAATGCATGGCCTGCAACCTAACAACCTTAAATTAGCAATGATCGAAGCAATTTCAAACCTTTGATAATCGTAGGCTGATTTGCTTCTAGCCAGACCATTAGAATGACTATGTTCTTGTTTTAAAAATCCAAATCTATCAACTCTAGGCAATGCTGGTAGTAGATCATCTCCATCTGCTCCTATCTTTTCCATTTGGCTACAACCTAAATCTCTAATCATGTATGACTCAACAAGTTCATAATCACTATTCTACAACATGTGCCAGTTGCATGTTCCATTGGTTTCATAACAAAAACTCACTTTTCTGCACCACCAAACTGAAAAGGAAAACAAAAAAGCAAAGTTTAACATCACCAATCGATCAAAATGGAATCTTCAAAAGCATCCAAAGCTCAAGCTCATTTATCATGACAGAGAAAATGAATATTATAAAAAAGAAACCTTTCTCATTATCTTACATAATACTCAAATATTTCAAACAGCCCATTGAAACGGTTTAACAAAAAAATAAGCTCTTTCTCCATGTTAACTAACAACAAAATGAATTGCAACTGAACACATATAAAAAAATCGAGAAATCAAGAGAAATGGGCTTAACGTACATTCATATTCGCAGATTGAATTTAGAAATCGATATCGAATCGAATAAAAAACTAAACCTCATGATTCATATATACCGAGTATCAGTGCCGCCCAATCATTTAAGATGGCCCTGTGCAACTCAATAATTCAAGGCTCTAGGACATAAAAAATGAGTGGTTCAAGGTCATAAAATAATCGTTTAGATTTTTGATTGAAAAAGAACGAAGTACATATTACTACACTTTTCTTACACTTCGAATTATACAAACTACTTAAAAAAATTTATGAAGGGCTATTTTTTGAGATTCTATTAAATCTTCAATCCTTTGTTTCTTTTCACATTTTGCATACCCAGATTCATATTTTCTTATTTTAGAAGGCATATTAGAATAAAATTTAGGAAGAAACAATAAACCTGGAAGAAGAGAGTAATTCCAAATCTCGATATCTTTGATGAATGATGAGCTATAGCCTTCAACAACTTTTTCTAATTCTGAAAAAAATCAATGATTAAAACCAAAGGTAGAATTGAACTACGGGTCTTGCAAAATTAAAGAAGAAACACCAATTTATAGCATTCAAGAAACAATTAAACAAAAAAATGAAAGGATGAAAGGGCCAGTTTGAAAAAAAACTGAAACATAAAAATTAAGTACTCGCCAAAAAAAGAAATTGAGGAGTTAATCGGCAAAGGAAGATGACGTATTTACCGGGAGGAGGAATCGCAATTGGGAAGATGCGATTATGCGAAGAAGGGAGATTCTCAGCGTTGAAGTCTATGAGTGTTTCGTTAGACAGCTGATGAAATGCTTATTTTTAATTCAATTTATTTGATTGTAAGTGTAAAATTAAAAAATAAAATTTATATATTTAAAAACTACATCAAAAGTTCTACAAAATAAGTGGTGACAAGACTATATTATTTTATCAAATGCTTAATGAAAATAGGTAAAGAAAACGATTAAAGTTTGACCGTGTGAATAGTAAGTGGGAAGAACATTTCAGGACGGACGGAGTAGTAATTCTGTTTCGGCTACATATCAAATATTACTAATTTAGTTTCTAATTATTATATTTATTTCTTTGAATGATCCTTTGTTAACATTTCCGTTAAGAACATGGATAAATAAATTCACTCCTTTCTCTCCTCAATTAAGCTTTCTCCCTTCCCTCACATTTTTTTCTCAAATCCGTCGCTGAGTTTGAAGGTTTTATTCCAAAACTGAAATCATCACTCACCTCTCAATTGTTTTTCTAACTGGTGGAACCCAAATTCAAAACTAGTAACCTTCATGATGAGTTTTAATGTTAATTTTCTTTGCAATTTCTTGAGACTAACCGATAAAACTCATCCATAACGCTTATTGGTTTTTATTTTAGGTTCCACCAGAAAGATTAATAATTGAGAGAGGAATCGTTTTAGTTTTGGGTTTAGAGTCTCAAACTCATCGACGAGTTTGGGAAAGAGTACGAAAGGAGAGATGAAGCTTAATTGAGGAGAAAAAAGTATGAATATACAATTGTATCCATGTTCTTAACAAAAATGTTAACAAATGACCATTAGTGAAAAATAATATAATAATTGGAGACTAAATTAGTAATATTTGATATGTTAGGACTAAATATGTAAAATGATCTATAATTGGGAACCTTTTATGAAATCTACTCTTTAGTAATATACAGAGTAATTAGGTAATTAGGGTATTAGGCTTGTGTAACGTCCAGCAACCCGGTCTATTAGAATTGATTATTTTGATTAATTAATTACTAACTCGGACCGGGGTTGGGAAATAAAATCCTTAGAAAAATTATTTGATCATGTAAAAAATATTCGTCTTGACTGTCTGATTCTAGAGTAAAATTAAGGAAGATAACTCCCATTTTCCCTCCACACGCCACCCCGTTTTCCCCATCATTCAACTCCCTCATTAATTCATCATTATTTCATCATTTAAAATCCTTTTAATATAAACCCTTCCACTCTTCATTTCCCTCACCCATTTGTAACCCCCAACCATCACTCTCACTCCCCCCTTCCTCTCCCTTTGCGTTTTCGGCCAGTCCATAGCAGCTCAAGGAGGTGATTCCCGCGAGTTGACGGGGAGGTTGAAGAGGAGAAGTTCATGCGAGAAGCTGTTCGTCGTTCGTTTTCCGTTCGTTATCGTCGTTCGTTCATCCCGTTACTTACTGTCAATCGCGTTACTTACCGTCGTTCGTTTTATCACTAATTTTCGTGTAAAGAAAAGAAAGAAGAAAAAAAATATTACATTGCATAGAAGGGGATTTAAACTCTGGTGGCGTGGAACACAATCAATTTCAACTTTCGCTTTACTATTCAACTTCTCATTGTCATTATTGATTTTTATAGTACTTATTCCGTTTCTTACAGTTTTGGCCCAATATTAAATTAAGGGACTGTTTGTTTCAGCCTCTTAATGGTTCAGATGTCTGAATGGTTCAACACTTAATGATTCAGACTGTTTGTTTCAGCCTCTTAATGGTTCAGATGTCTGAATGGTTAAGAGATTTGCCTCTAAATGGTTAAGTATTATACAGAGTCTGAATGGTTAAGACCTCTTATCTGAATTGATCAGACATTTGTCTCTGAATAGTTAAGCAATATACTAGCTCTTAATGGTTCAGACCTCTTACTGGTTCAGCACTTAATGGTTCAGACCTCTTACTGGTTCAGCACTTACCTATTCAGAAGTTGCCAAACAGCCCCTAAGTTGGATCCAATTTCAATTAATATTCCTAAACCATTTTTATAATAATAAAATTTTTTAACTTTGACTCTAATTATATTTTATTATTTTTAGATTACAAAATCAATTTATTTAGGAAAAATTGCCCAAAATAATCCCAACTTTACCCGGTCTTTCAAAAATAATCCCACCTTTCACTGTGATGCATAATAATCCCAACTTTATTGAAATTTGCCAGTTTTGGGTCGCCGTTAAGTTTCTAACGGAGGGTTAACGGAAATGCCCGTTTTGGGCTACAAAATGAAAGTTGGGATTATTTTTGATGAATTTTTGTTTTTTAATTTTTTTTGAAATTTTTATTTAAAATTTTTGAATTACTTTCAACCTCAATTTCTTTTTCTTTTTTAAAGATTATTCTTACCTTAGAAAAAAATAGATATAAAAATAATGAAAATGAGAAAAATAACTAAAACCATACAAAATTAATCAAATAAATAATGTAATCAATAAAAAATTAAACAGAAACTGGTAAGAAATAAAATAAATATATACGGAGTGGTGGGTTTTAACATTTTACACACTATACGGAGTCTTAATGTACTACTTCTTTCGTCCCAGAGTATTTGTCCACTTTCATTTTTACACACCATCCAATACACTTCTTTAATCCATTTTATCTTGTAATTTGTATA